TCATCATATGACCGATATAGAGCTGCATGCCATTATCTATATAATATCTTTATTGAAAGAAATCTCATAATCTCAAAGCCATAATAACCATACCATAATACCATAATCATGCCATCCATTGACCATTCCAGAACACGTGATTTTGACATGGTTTCTTGAGGAGCACCCAAACTATCTGTTAGCATAGCCAGAGATAAGTTACCCACTATCTCTGGCATAGCATAGCATAGCCCTGGCCATCTCTGCCATATCCACAATATAATAACAGTTTGACCAAACAAAACTTTGAAATTCTCTCTGGTTCCAACTCCGATTCCAAGGAAAATGATCCCACTAATTCTGGTTTCATATGACAAATCTTGACAAAATACAATGTTTGCCCCCCAGCAACCTGTCAAATGACGTAATTCTGAAATGATTAATAAAATGCATAACCTTGCTTTTCATTATACATGACAGATAACCATATACGTATTAATAAACAATACGGATCATAACCATATACGTATCAATAATCAATACGGATAATCTCTATCTGTTTCCATAGCGAAACATGAAGCCGATTTTTGAAGACAAATGACTATCCATAAGGAAAAGTTTTGAAACGGTCAGACACATACTGCTTTGATTGAAAGGCTAGTAAACGTCATTGTCCACCGAAAAGCATGTCTTTGATGACTACTATAATAGCGCATGGCGCATGCGTATCATGCCACCAAATCCTTATGGATATTCATTTGTTTCATATTTTTGGCTTCATCCTGGCACCCGTTATGATCCGTATTGTTTATTAATACTTATATGATCATAACGGGTGCCAGGATGAAGCCAAAAATATGAAACAAATGAATATCCATAAGGATTTGGTGGCATGATACGCATGCGCCATGCGCTTTTATAGTAGTCATCAAAGACATGCGTTTCGGTGGACAATGACGTTTACTAGCCTTTCAATCAAAGCAGTATGTGTCTGATCGTTTCAAAACTTTTCCTTATGGATAGTCATTTGTCTTCAAAAATCGGCTTCATGTTTCGCTATGGAAACAGATAGAGATTATCCGTATTGTTTATTAATACGTATATGCAGATAACGCGCGATTATTTCCGTAAACTGGTGAAAAATTGCCAGTTTAGAAATAATATGGATTAATCGGTGATTCTGGTATGGTGAAACGATTTGAATTCTTCATGGCGATTAAATTCGTCAGTTAACTCCAAAACGGAGATTAAATCCGTTGGTGAAACCGGGCCTCATTAGTTATTTGATAGCAGAGATCAGTCACCCACTAGTTTAGAGAAATAGAGTTACGTCGCACTGTACAAAAGACACGATGACGCAGTCAGTCAGTTACTTGTCAAGAGTAGAGACAACAAGCTGAATATTAAATAAAAACCTCGTTGAGTTCAAAATGTGCGTGATATAACAGATAATGATCTCAATCAAAATTGATTTCCAGCATTCTGAAAGGTGCTTTATTCAGATCTAGACCTTTACCAAGATACAGAGAAACATGGGACCCTCAACCATTTCTCCTTAAAATATCGGAATGACAACCCCTACAATCATTATCACTCCCTCAACTTACAGAAAAACTTATATACTTTTACTAGCACAGACCTTTGCAAAAATCAAACTCTCAGATATTCATATAAGAGAGAATGAAGTGGGAATTAACATTTCGAAATTAATTAAAACGTATCAGGTCCTGGTGAACCCCAACCGATATTATATTTCCGTTCTTTAGATCTCAACCGTATCTAATTAGGACGCAGCTATACTAGTATAATTGAGGATTGAGGATTGGACTTCCTTACTCAGGTAAGTCGTTTATTGTCAAATTATCTTCGTTGTTGTTAATGTAAAGCATATTTAAAAAAATAATGAAGTGCCCTCTGCGTCATAAAGGCTATAATGTGATCGTTTTGTCGCATAAAAAAATAAATAACATAACATTTTATTGATAGTTACGGATAACGGATATCATACAGATTGTCTAAAGAATTTTGCCTGCATAATTTGATTTTTTGATTTTCTTCTACATAAGTATCCGAGGTTTGCGCCATTGGTTGAGAACACTAGCTTTCGACTTCGACAAAGATTTCTTCCAACGCATGCGGAATGACTTACGAGCGATGTTGCGCGAGAAACTTTGTTTTGGTCTATATATCTTCAACAGCTGGCAACCCCATCATGTACAGATAGAGATTAGCATCCATGTTCATATAAAAATGATCAATAAACGCTATGAACGTATTAAGGTGGCTATAATTGACGTATAAATATAACAAAATTATACCTGTTCACAACTGGCTGCAAAGGGGTTGTGGCCAAGTGCGCAACGGTAACGGTCACTTCTGAAGTTCTTTTATATACGGTGGAATTAATCACAATATATTTCATTCAAAAAACAAATTAATGAACTTTTTTGCAGAAAATCAAATTTCATTATTTTGATTAAAAATACTTGCGGTCATATTTCGATAGGCAATCCATCAGTAAAAATATATTCTGCTATTCATATGAATATATGTTATAATCTGATTTCCATTGAATACTTGATGAGCGCGTAGTAATCTTGCAGTCGGATCTTATTAGACCAGTAGAATCCTGCAATATATTTGTCATTTTTTATAGCGAATTTGGAAACAAAGCGCCATATATATCTCGATAATAAATTGACCTACACAAATGTTCGAGAATCTAAATTGTAGAAAATTCAATGCTCTACAAAAAAGTATGGATATTTTTACGTGAGACGAAAGGAGAAAAGTTATTGAGGAAAAACCGGAGAAAGGCCGAAAAATTTTGCAGTTGCCTCCCCCCCCCCACTCATCTTTTCACACAGGGTTATTGAGGTCCAAAACTTGAGAAACAACAACATGCCAAAAAGTTTCATTAACTTCCGGCGTTTTTCTATCTGAACCTTACGGAAGCGTATATAGAAACGCCATAAATATGATATATTTTTTTTATAATTGACAGATACTAAGTGGCAATAACAGATTCTAAATGTTAACTAAGTATAATTGACAGGTACTTAAGTGTAAACTAGCCTAACTGACAGATATAGTAAGTGGTATTAACTAGCCAGCTACTTGACAGATATTTAAGTGTCAACTAGTATCTGACGAGTAGGGTAGTTACCACTTAGTGTAAGTATGTCAATTAGGCTAGTTATTGACACTCAAGCAGTATCTGTCAATTATATCAGTTGACACTTATATAGTACCTGTCAAGTATAGGCTAGTTACCACGTAGTACCTGTCAATTATGCTAGTTAACACTCAATTATTTGTCAAAAGTATACTAGTTTATTGTGGATTTATGCAGCAAAAATTAACAATTATCAATTTACATTGATCAATTTTGAGTTAAACTTGCTATTTTCAATCACTGTGTTTATGTAAACAATTATCATTTATCGAATAACAAGTAGAAGGTTGGTCAACTTTTAACTTTTTACATTAATTGAACCAGGTTTTCTTATTGTGCGCAACTAGTACGCAGATAACCTCGGTTTGGATGGAAACGAGATGTTCCAGTTTTTTCTTCTCATGAGTTTGGTACATTTCTTCCATTTTGAAAATATTTAAATTACTTTGATCAATTGAATTTCATTATTTGTTCATTTCGATATATTCATATGGTGAAATTATTTCAACCATATTTGTCTTTCAGGCGGCTCGAATTTGTGGATAAAAACTATGCAAATACCTCGGAAGCGACAAATTTGAAGAAAGCTGAAATTCAGTACTAAATTCCCAATTCTAGTATTTTTTTGAAATGTCATCTAGTACCACATATTTTCGGTCAGGAACAAAAACAAAGAAAATGCCATATGTCAAGTCTGTCAATTCACTCAATTCTTGTTTATTTTATGGTCTGATATTCTCAGGAAAATTAATGAAAAATTAGAAAATGTACGCTGAAAAATACTTACATTCATGAAAATATTATTGCTATTTAATCATCAGATATGATGGAGGCTGTGAAGACATGTAAACAATTCTCAAAAAATGTTAGTCAAAGCCGGTAAATACCTGAATATTATCATATCCAAGGATTCGAACTTGTCCGATAGGTGAGTAAATGAATTTTTTGATGTTAAATCGTGATAAAAGATGATAGTTGTTTATTTTTCGAAACCCAGTTCAGTGCAAGCAAAATATTTTGAAATGGGACTGTGAGTACATCAAGAGAAAAAGATAGACCTGTCTTTTGCCGTAACTCTCATTTCAATGAGCATTGAGCATTATCATTGCATTATTAGTTATTTTCGACTATTACTTTAGGTATTAAATCTGGCAACGTTGTTACAATTCTGATGTCAATATCAAAGAATATTAGATAAAATTTTCATGGGGACGGCTGAGATTTCAATATCCAGGAAGTGGCGTACTCATTTTTTTTTTTTTTTTGTCCAATTTTCGAGATGAAATAACTGGTTAACTTGATTATATATACTATAGTATCTATCAAGTAGGCTAGTTACCACTCAGTATCTGTCAATTATGCTAATTGACACTTGAGTATCTGTCAAGTATGCGCTAGTTAAAACCAAGTTAAAATAAGTTATCACTTATTATCTGTTAATTAGGCTAGATTGACACTCAAGTATCTGTCAATTATACTAGCTAACCCTTAGTATCTGTCAAGTATGCGCTAGTTACCACGTATCTGTCAATTAGGCGAGTTGACACTTAGTATCTGTCAATTATATTAAACAAATATATATGGAGCTTCTACGCATTCCTAGAATCTACAGGACTAAAATGACTTCAAGAGCGTGTTCCGAAATATGAGATGTAATAGATTTAAAATATATGTGGTCGAGACATCGACAATCGAGACTCGAAAGTCCATACTCCATAACCAGTGATATAGGAAATGGGACCCAGTCATATACGATATGCTCTATTAGCAAGGTTCATCTGCAAATAAGATAAGAAATATATATGAAAAAAGAAGAAACCTTAACCTTGATCCTGTGTAGGGATTTGATTTGCTGTAATTAAATTATGATAAAAATGTGATAAGTCATTATTGTTGGGATTAGATGGAGGAATTTAGTTATCAAGATTATTTATTACTCTGTTATCGAGCGAAAGAACCAACAGAACAATGCATGTGTATTCAGTAATAATTGGTACACATAACCTTTCAAACTCACTGAAATGTCTGAGGAATTTTCTTAGTAGGCAAAAGTTCAGTTCAAGAAAATTCAGCAATATGTCTCAAAAAATTAATCAAAACAAGACTTATATATCGGTAGAAATACCTGAAGTTAATACTGCTGCTGGAAAGGGTTTCACTAGAATATTCAGAAGAAAAATAAAAACAGAAGGCACAGATCCATCAATAAATAAGTCACAAATCAAAAGGTTATTTTCACTAGCCAGACCTGAGAAATGGAAACTAGCTGGTGCCATAGGATTCCTTCTAGTATCCAGTACTGTTACAATGTCTATTCCATTCAGTTTGGGAAAAGTATTAGACATCATTTATAATACTAGTGATAATTATGATGAAGCAAAGAGTAAACTTAACAAAGTATGTGGAGTATTACTTTGTGTTTTTATATTAGGAGCAATTTGTAATTTTGGTAGAGTATATATCATGTCTACTGCTGGATACAGAATGACTAATGCTCTCAGAAGACAAGTTTTCAGTTCTATCCTTAAACAGGAACAAGGTTGGTTTGACAAAAGACCTACAGGTGAGTTGGTGAACAGGCTATCAGCAGATACCCAAATTGTTGGTTCAGCTTTGTCTCAAAACATCTCAGATGGATTACGCTCCTTAGTTATGGTCTGTGCTGGAACTGGAATGATGTTTTATATGTCACCAGAACTTGCCTTGGTAGGTCTTGCAATAGTACCACCAGTAGCTGGTATAGCTGTGATATATGGAAGATTTGTTCGGAATATATCAAGAAAGGTCCAAGATTCATTAGCTGATTCCACAAAAGTGGCTGAAGAAAAAATATCAAGTATACGTACTGTAAAGTCTTTTGGTCAAGAGCCTAGGGAGATAGAGTGCTATAACAAATCAATAGAGAATGTTCTGAAATATTGTTACAGGGAAGCTAAAGCAAGAGCTGTGTTTTATGGGATGACTGGATTCAGTGGCCATGTTATCATAATATCAGTTTTATATTATGGTGGTGTTATGGTATCATCTCATTCCCTAACTGTGGGTCATCTATCTTCATTTCTCCTATATGCAGCCTATATTGGTATATCAGTGAGTGGCCTATCTAGTTTTTATTCAGACTTGAATAAATCTATTGGAGCAGCATCCAGAATATGGGAAATTATTGACAGACAACCCATAATTCCTATGCAAGGAGGTGTAGTTCCTATTCATCCTCTGGAAGGACATGTTGAATTCAAAAATGTTAAATTCAGCTATCCATCAAGAACTGATGTAGAAATATTCAAAAACTTAGTTTTAGACATAAAACCGGGTCAAGCATTAGCTGTAGTTGGTCCCAGTGGATCTGGCAAAAGTACTTTGGCAGCTCTCTTGTTGAGATTATATGATCCTAACATGGGAGCAGTATTTTTAGATAATCAAAACATCAAAGACCTTGATCCAGCTTGGATCAAAAAGCATATAGGTACTGTCAGTCAAGAACCTATACTATTTTCCTGCTCTATAAGAGAAAATATCATATATGGAGCTGAAGAGCCAGACAAAATTACAGAAGAACATTTCCTCAGAGTTTGCAAGGAAGCTAATGTCTATGAGTTTGTACAACAATTACCTGATGGGTTTGAAACTGTTGTGGGAGAAAGGGGTATTATGCTTAGTGGTGGACAGAAACAAAGAGTTGCCATAGCTAGAGCTCTCATCAAGGATCCTAAAATACTACTTCTCGATGAAGCAACAAGTGCATTAGATGCCCATTCAGAGCATTTGGTGCAGGAAGCATTAGAACGGGTAATGAAAGGCAGAACTGTGTTGACAATTGCTCATCGACTTTCAACTATACAGAATGCAGATGTTATTGCTGTTTTACAAGATGGAGAAATTGTTGAGAAGGGGAAATACCAAGAGCTAATAAGTAGGGATGGCCCCTTCAAGGAATTAATCAAGCATCAAACCTTCCAAGAGATTCAAGAATGATACTTATTCCTACAGAGTGTATAGATTTTATTTCTATCATCATAGTTTATTGAAATATATGCGTTTTCTTGTGTCTCTGCTGGTTGAATGTTATATAGATTTATTTCCTGAGGTGTACTTGGAGAATTATATTGATTATTTTTTTCATATGTCAATAGCAATGCTCAATTCTAGCCAATCATTCCGTATTATACTGATAAATTGCATGGTCCTGGATAAAACTTTGGGTACCTTGATCTGTCGAAATTATTCTGACTAACCAGGCTCCCCTATCTAGTTTATTTTTGACCTATCTTATGTGTAAGTAACAATCTTGTATTAATTTGACTGGTGAAATTTGCTACTAAGGGTCTTTTTATCAAATTGGTGAAAAAAATAATCTTCCCAAATACAAACTCGCTCGTTGTGACGTAGAGAAATCATAGTAGGCGGTCGAGTGATTATTCTGAAATTTTCAATACGTGATAATGGCGAATGCGCGCACCATATCTTACTTCCATCATTGTTTTCATATTAGGTACTGCCAAATAAAAAAGTTTTACTAGAAAATTTGAAAAATTATCAATACAATTTCAGGGTCTTGTGGTATTACCTTTGACAAACTACTCAATAGGATTCAATCTAACTGCTAATCATAGCTTCTGTTCTATCATATCATCATCTGTGTAGATATACCTATTATATATTTGCAATTGAGCAATTTGACATCATTTGTTAATATTGTTCAATTTGACATTCTGCTGAATTCAAAAATAGTTGAGTGGCACAAACTAGATGCGAGAAAAGGATAGATTTATCAGACCTCTCACCTCTCTATATTTCAATGCGGACACGTTGAAGAGGAAGAGAACTTTCTCAAATAACAAATAACTATTGTTTTATTTACTAGGCAGAAAAGTAGTAGATTGACTGCCGCGGCTGATAGTTCATAGCCTAGCATTTTTTCCCAAATGATATAGAACCAATTTTGTGTAATTTTTTTATTGAAAATTCCATCATTTTGTGTTCACCCAATGTCAGTGTCAATTTTGATTACTCATTTCATTAGAATTTCTTGGAACGTTGCATAGCAAAACTGTTCCTGCCTAGGCAGTAAAAGAACACCTTTTCTGCCTGTTTAACGGCAGGAAAAAGCCACTATCCCTGCCGCTTGGAGAAAAAAAACTTTATGACTGTCATTCAATAATTACCTATACCAATCTAATGTTTATCTTTGGACTAACAGTACTAACACAATGAGGATCCTCCTAAATGATGGTTACATAAACAGTTATTGAGTAATTGGTGATTGATGCATGATAGCTTTATTATCGTCCATTAGTACCCCATCATATGATTTGATATTTTATAACAAGCATAACATAGATCTTTATTTCCGTATTCCTCTTTTTCAAATGTATCCAATAAACTCAAATACCTTTCTTCTCTTGAATAACTTTGATCAGGTATCTGGGTTGAAATCAGATGGGAAAAATTAGTAGAGTCTTCAGCCCTGAGTTGAGGAGTAGCTTTTGATAATACATTCTAAAAGGAAGAATACCTATGAATTCTCAAAATCAGATTTGTGGACCAAAATAAAATGCCGTGGCCTAGGTATTTCCAGTATTTAACATCAGACTCATCAGAGGATAACCAATCTTTAAAATGAGTAAAGCAATCAAAATACACTAGAAAACAAGAAGGAAATTTGTGGTCTTCACTTATGTAATTTCAATACATGGTGAGTTAATTCTTGATAGAGTCCGACCACGTTAACTTTGGGACAGCATGTGAAGCAAGGCATATGCATATTCAATGCATACGCGACCACGTGCTGTCCCAAAGTTATCGTGGTCGGACTCTAGATGAGTTGATAAATATAAATAGGAAAAACTATAGTATGAGTATAAAATAGAGCCTATTGGGACATGAAAAAAAAAACAGGAACCAAAATTGGTCAGTTTATATAGGTAGGTAGTTGAGTTTCAAATATTGAAAAGACCTTAGGAGAGACCTTACCAATTAAAAATATAGGCATCTTAGTCTTCAGAAATTGAACTCAATCAGTAAGAAGTAGTCTTTATAAGTAAATAAAATATTTAACTTCAAAACAATAAGTGGAATATTGTATATTACACACCCAGGTGGGAAGAGTTTCATTCCTGTCATGAGATTTTTTTTATCGCTTGGAGCGCACGAGAGGGAATCCCTATAATGTTCAATGATCTGGAGACAGGAATGAAACTTCCTAATGAGGTTTGTATACTATTTTATTTACAACCATCATATTTCTATCAAAATTAATAAATCTCTGTTTTGTTCCAAACATACCTAAAATATTACATAAGTGAGGGCAGGAAGTAGAGGTATGTAATGTGACACTTCCCACAAGATCTCAGACACAAGAGTGATCTCAATTTCCCTCTGAGGTACAGTTGTAAAAATCTCAATTTTCCTTTGAGGTACAGTTGTAAAAAAAAGCATTCAACTCATTCAAGTATTTTACAGAGGGAAATCAACATCATCCTATTTGCATAAAACTGACTATTGGGAATTTCTGTTGACAGTAAAGTTGTCAGGTTCTCAAGAATACAAAGCATTGGCAGAGCCAGTAGGATGATGCAAACCATGTTTTTTTTATTGAATATCATGAGTGGGATATGATGAAATACCCAATCCTGGCATTTTGATTCAGTCTGACCCTCCAATTCAATATTAATTTACCTTGCATAATGTACATATTTGTAAACCAGTCTGTTCTACAGTCAGTTTATCACCAGTTTTGATTATAGTTGTGACTGTGGCTGGGAAGTTACTCTGTAAGTTATTGACAAATGTCTTCATAAGGTCCTGTATTGAAGAATATGGGTTAATTTCTGGTTGTCTGACACAGAGTGGTTCTCTCTTGTTAAATTTGTTATATAGGGCTAATTCTTTCATATCAAATAAACGAAGAGGTTTGAGAATTTTAACAATTTCATCCCTGTCATCACAGAATCCCTGAAAATCAAATACTTGCAAAATTCCCTAACATACAAGGCAATATGAAATTCAAGAGAAATAACTTACAGTATCCACTGAAATATGAGAACCTCTTCCCAGTGATACATTTGACAATAACTGTGAAGCAATGTCTATGGATATATCTGGTGTAAACACAAATTTGCATTTCAAATGTCTAGCAACATCTAAAAGCAACTGCCTCCTGAAATTTTCAACAGTTCAAAAAATACACATATCTCCAAAATCAAGTAAAAAAAAGCCACTAAAAATTGGTTCCCTAATTTCAAAGTTGGCAAATGCATTTCCTAGCTGATATTTCACAAATCAAAGTTATATTTAAGTATATAAACTTACTGGAATAATGTTTTTATATCATTCTTGTTGGTAAGTGAACATTTTGTTTTAACCAATGAATCAAGTTCATCTTTGTCATTTTCAGATATAGTCAAATCATGTGTTGTTATGAGTTCTTCAATACTGTCAGGGTTTGCAATATACTTTGCAAATGAAATGAAGTACAGATTGAATTCAAATGAATTAACCTCTTGCTCAACTGCTGTTAGAATGTCAAGTCTTTCTTTTACTGTAAGGTGATACTGATCTGAAATATAGAAATATCATTATTCAGATATCTTGAGGTCAATGTTTATTACAACTTACTGTCAATGAACAAAATCACAGGCTTGAATTGTAGTTTTTTAGGAGTACTCAGATCCAAGGCACTTCTGAGAAAGTGTAACAGAGCAGTACTGGGATGACCAATCTGGTGGTGCACTAAAACTATATCATTGGGCCTAATGAGGCGAGATTTTCCTAATAATGCTCTAAACTTATGAGTGGTGCCTGTCAAAAAACAGTCTTTGCAATAGAAATCTTTACTTCTCAATACTACAAGAGGTGGTCGGGCCCTACATTTATTACAGGTTTCTGATCTGGAATAAAATTTTGTGTTTGATTGATATTTTCTAGGATAGACAGAATTCGGTAAAACTGCATTTAGCATGCGATGGGTTTTTTTTCGAAAATTTTTTTTGGTACTTACGTATTTTTGTCTGAAAAACACGAATTTGATAATGAAAATGTGAACAAACCAATATTTATCGAGATATTTCAAAAAAAATTTCGAAATTTCGACTCCTTTTTCCCCTTGCGTTGGATGCATTTTCAGGTACTTGCTCTTCTTATTTTGTCATTGGACACTTAATATTCGCTTTATATACTCATGATGTACTTCAATGACACATTTTTATACAGAAAATTCAACAGGAAATATGATTTTTATGGTGAGTTTTTCCTATTTAGTGAGCAAGCATACCAGATGACGGCCATTTTATCCATAGGCAATCTTAGGCAATCCAAATACGAGATGTCAAATGTCAATAGATTGCTTTGGAATGACATTACACACGCCATTATTTCAAATGATATTCTTCCTTCTTTTCAATAAATATGGATAAATCACAAGAAAATCATATTTCTAGTTGACTCAATAATAGAGAAAATGTGTCTTACATTGTGATATATATAAATTGTCCAATGATGAAAAAAGAAGGGTGAATTGTTTAAAATTCAATCCAGAAGACAGGCGGAAAAGAAGGTGGAATTTGAAACTTTATAGTGAAATATCTTGATAAATAATGGTTTGTTCACATTTTCATTATCAAATTCGTGTTTTTCAGACAAAAATACGTAAGTACCAAAAAAAATTTTCGAAAAAAAACCCATCGCATGCTAAATGCAGTTTTACCCAGAATTCTTACAGAATAACATTTTTTATCACAGGCATAACTTTCTGAAGATCATTTTCAAAATCATCATCACCAACACTACACATTATAATAAAAAGTAAAAACTAGCTGGATCAACGATCAAACCACAAATAGTTGAGGAAGCGGTTAAAACCTTCTTCTTCCAATTCTTTGGCCTCGTCTCTTGTCCTTAGCCGGTGTCAGTCTTCATTTGAATTGGCTTTAGCCACAATCAACTCCTGCTTGAATCCTTTTGTATAATTATCATTCTAAATATGGAGAATACTTCTAGTGAGCTGTGTAGTTCCACTTTCCAGCTCACTAAATTTTTTCTCCATATTAAGCAGACAATGCTTTGAACAAAACCACATTAGCCAATATTTAAAAATAGGAAATAACAGAAATTAAATGTTTTTCTATTCTTCTCATTCATTTCCATAGGTGGCAATACCAGTAAGTGGATATTGTTAAAACTAATAGAAATTAAACTACATTTCATCGATAGTATTGTTGGTTAGTAGTCCATTGTGGAGGTGCTGTATTGTAATCATACTGGGTATTTGGTCTGGCCTGAGCTTGGGCAGATGTTGCATACTGGGCAGCTGTTACAGTGGTCCCTGTAGTATAAGCAGGATATGTGGCAGGAGTATATGTAGGAGGTGCAGCAGCATAGTACTGAGGCTGTTGTGGAGGTGGAATATGCATGGGAGGCAGAGACTGTGTATAACTCACAGTCTGGGGATATTGGTTATAATAATGTTGTGTTGTAGGTATAGAATCATGCACTGTAGGAGATGATTCTTGTATTGGCACAGTTATGAGATTAGTCCTCACACCAGCTGATTGACCTTGAGGTGGTCTAGGTCTAAGATTTGTGGGCACTCCTCCCCCTGATCTTGGATCATTCACAGTTTTAGTGCGCACTGGTAATGTTCTTTCTGGTTCAACCACTTCCATAGGTTGTTGGTTTATGTTTGAGACATGACGATGGTTTATGTGTGCTTGCAGATCTCTTTGGGAAAGGTAGGTTCTGCGACATCCAGTCTGACCATATCTGGTGCCTCCATGAGTACACATGAAAACCGTACCCAAACCAGTTTGTTCAACTCTAGTCACTTTTTCTAAGCAACGTGGGCACTGTTTATGTTCTTTCTTACCACAAGCTAAGCAGAACACATGTTTGCAAGGAATCTGAAAGCATTGAAGAATTTGCAGAAAGATTAATGACAAAACCCATTGACAGGAACTTACCATTCGTCCATAGATCAAGATTGGTTTCAAACACTTATCACAACAATGTATCATTGGATTTAGTACCTTTTCGCCAATAAGATTCACTTTATGGGTCCAATCCAAACGTAGCATTGGCTCTGGCGGCCCTCTATTAATGGTGGTGAATGTTGGAGCTTCAAGTTGTGATATATCAGCTTCAAGATCAACTGAAAGTAAAGAATATTACTATGAAGAACTATTATTCTATGAAGTTTACTTTCTGGTGGCTGGGCATTTTCGTTATTTTCACTTTCTTCTATGGGTGGAATTTCGGTTATCTCTGGAACAGGTGTTTCGACCTCTTCATCACTTTCAATAACTTTAATTGCCTTTTTGCCTCTTCCACGGCCTCTGCCTCTACCCCTTCCGCGACCTCTACCTCCTCTACCTCGTCCTCTGCCTCTTTTGGGAGGATCGTCTATTTTCATTTTCATGAGATTTTAGCTTTTTCTAAAGCTTTCTATTATTTGTTTATTTGTAGTAACAATTAACGATGTAGCAAAATAAATTACTGTCCGACTGTCAGATAGTTTGACAATGACAGTTATGTCATGTCAAAGGTCAAAGCTGGACTTGCTTCAATTGGTTTTTGGCATATATCTACTACTATTTATATGAATTATTGCTGTCCTGTCCTCAAAGCGGGACCAACTTCTGTCTCTACAGGGTGGGCCACCAGTAACGCCTCGGTCTCTAGAAGGCTAACCACTTATCTTCTTGGAATTCTTCGTCTCTAGGAAGTTGCATGTCAACATAGGCTACCATTTAAAATTATTTCGAAACATACAGGGTGTCCCCAAAAACCATAAAACACTGCAGAAGTTAAACTTTTTTCTATCGAACACCCTATATATTATTTCATTTTGAGATTCTCCCTGATCAGCTGATTTCAACTAGAGTCCCTGTATATACCTTAGACAAGAGTCAGGACACAAAACTGACAGCCGTTGGGGTTTTTAATATTTCGTTTCATTTGGTTTGCCTACCTGACAATGTGACGAAACACCATAGTCGTCTCGACCGCTTTTTTTAAAATTGAATAATATACGGGGTGTTCTATTTTAAAAAAATATAGAAGATGGCGGCCGGGTGGTTCATAAATTAGTAAGGGGGAAACGGACTCTAGACGGGCACTGTATATGCTGCCGGTATTCGAACCCGGCCGATGCCCATCAGATAATTTTTCAATGAGAAATTGGTTCGTGGTAGCATTTCAACTGCCTACATGTGGTTCTAAATCCACTATAAATTGTAAGTCCTCTTCCACTTTAACTTTCACAAGCCCTTCGAAGGCTTATGGGGGTTGCTTCGGTAACCAAAGTGATAGGGTACAATATACAATACAGGGTGAGTCATTAGTGTGGCAAAGTGAGATAACGGTTTTACTGATTGAGATAGAAGTTCGAAAATTTCAGAAATGATCTAGGATCATGAGCAGCACATTTCCAAATTATTTCGCTTCATACAGGGTGACTCAGAAATGCGTGGCGTATCAAAGTTATACTTTTTCTTATGGGACACCCTGTATTTCATTGCATTTTCGCATTTTCCTTTGTGAGCTGATTTCATCAATGCATCACAGTTGGGGTCTAGCGAGAATGATTACATAGATATAGGGTGTGCATCAAAATCGAGATTATTCAACTAGGATTTTTTTGCGTCGAAACTATTCATAATTGGTCGAAACGGCTTTTATGTACCTACTAATTCCAACATTTGATTCACTATCTACTGACATTTAATTGGAACAAATACAATATGTTGAATCTTGAACCACCCTGTATTTGTTTCAATTAAATGTCAGTAGATAGTAAATCAATAGTTGGGATAGGGACACGAGAGCCGTTTTTACCAATGAATAGTTTCGACGCAAAAAAATCCTTAAGTTGAAAAATCTCGATTTTGCACACCCTATATATCTCTGTAATCATTTTCGCTAGACTCCAGGTGTGAAACATTGATGTAATCAGCTCACAACGTAGAATGCGAAAATGCAATGAAATACAGGCTGCCCATTAGAAGAAGTATAACTTTGATACGCCACGCACTTCTGAGTCACCCTGTATGAAGCGAAATGATTTGGAGATGTGCTGCTCATGATCCTAGATCATTTCTGAAATTTTCGTTCTTTTATCTCAAACAGTAAAGCCGTTTTATCTCACTTTGCCACACCAATGACTCACCCTGTATAATAGTTTATCAATTGGATCTTTGACATTTCATTGTCCCTAATGTTGGATAAATATAAAAATCAATGTTTATAAGGCATATAGGTATATATATTGTTGTTTTGATTTTGTCACTTTTATTTCTGCTGAGTGTTATTAAATTGAGAGAATCGGAGAAAATTATATCGAAATAATTAAATATCTTCTATTTTTGCATTTCCCATAAGGAAACAACCCTAATTTCTTGGTTATATGTGATACCACGTAAAACACTTGAATTATCTTTCCTATATCTAATGAAGTGGAGAAATATCTGATGACGAAAATTCGCAATAGCCATCTCAGGAATTGATCATGAGAATTATCGATTCGAAATTTGAACACCCTGTTGTTCATTATTTGAAAATCCAATAGTTATTCTAGTTAAAATAGCCCTATTTCTCACTCCTACCTACGGCTATGAACGGTTTGACAAATAATCTAACCGTCAAAATTGATTCTGACAATCATTGATACTAGGGGAATTGAAAAGAGAGAGCTCGATATATATGTCTTATTCCTTTATTCAATCATCAATGCATTCTTTGAAAACAGAAAAGGATAGAAGTATAGCTGTGTCCGGACTCTTGTCTAAGTTATATACAGGGACTCTAATTTCAACGACCCATCATACTTGGGGTCTAGCAGTTATAATTACTGAAATATAGGGTGTGAAAAATCGAGATTTTCCAAGTTCAAGAATTTTTTGTGTCGAAAATATTCATAATTTGTCAAAACGGCTTACATGTCCCTATCTCAACTTTTGATTAACCATCTACTGATATTTAATTGGGACATATACCGGGTGATCAAGATTCTGAATTCTGCACCACAACCAACTTTGCAAACGGAACATCCCCGATACGGTACGACAAACACTCCAACTCGTCAGACACCCATTTAGCCGTCATTGTCCAAACACTGCGACAAACCACAACCGACTTTGGAAATGGAACATACCCCATTTCCACGATGCATTGAATGTCAAATATTTGACTTTTGACTTCGCGCAAAAACGAACGGTTTGTCGGTTTGTTTTCAAAAACAGTTAAATGTAACGTTCATCGTTCATTTCATTTCTGGGTTTTGGGCATTTCGGTTTGGCCGTTAATTTGTGAATTATTTTATTTTATATCTTCAAGATATTTGTATTCGTATTAAATGACTTATTAAATAGATCCATTGAAAATATTTCAATAACGGTAATATATACCTTGATAAACTCCCGATAAGTGTTGGGTTTCCTGTAGAATGGAATTCAAGTATATAAATGACAGAAACAAAACCCCCAAGGCAAAATCCTCGAAAGTTTTTTCAAGTACTGTTAACTGTGATAGTCCTTTTATGTTTTTACCTAATGTGTCAACACCCCCATCAAGATTCACGCGGATCATTAACCCATTCGAGCATCACCTTGTAGACAGACTTCATTTACCAATGTTCAGGTAAGGTCAGAAATGTACTGATGAATTGATAACTAATGAATCATTTCTACCAGCCCATCGGTATTTGCCAAAGTATCTACTCCCAAGAGTGATGAAAAGACAAAATTTAAATGGACAATAGATGACATATCGAGCTTGAAACCTGCTGATATTGATGAGGGAACAATTAGTCAACATGTTATTGAAGAGGATCCTCAGGTTGAATCTCTTGTACAAGAAAAGATCAACAGATTTTTCAGTGAGGAGGTTATACTTCCTAGTCCAATGACAGATATTGTTAGAGTTCCTCTAGTTAGTACCAATGTGACTGCTTTCAATCCACAGAAACTGAAGGAATATTCAGAAAGTTCTGCTCAAACTATTTTGACACTGCCTCCTGTACTGCCCAAGCATATTGAAGATATCCTCAAACCTTACTTTATTCATACTGAAGACCAACAAGGAACTGAAACAAACATGAAAAACACTTCATTGTACCGCAACCTCTTTGAGTTTGAGTCTGATTTGGAAAGTGATTCCAGGCAGTCTTCACCTGCTGTTTCTACAGGACTGTCACCTATACAGTTTTCCCCATTCCCCCATGATGGACGAGAATCATTACCCCATGAGAGACGAGAATCATTACCCCATGAGAGTAACCCTGAGAATCAAGAACTAAGGGAGTGTAGTTTGTCACCAATTTATAGGTCTCCTAAAGAGTCTAGATCAGCTGTTAGGTTGAATTTTTCCAATTCAATGGGGATGAGTATTGATGCAAGCATGGCAGTACCTGATATTGCTAATCAAATACCAGATCAGAGTGTATTATTGGGTGAGTTCATTTTTAAATCACTTGGTTGTTTGAAATGATAATTCATATTATATAGCTTGAGTGCAGAATAGCATCCTCAACCTCTATTTTTTATGTTAAGTTGATTTTTGAAAAACAAAAATCAAATGGATAGATATCTTGCTTTCTCAAGAGGTGATTTTTCTCAAGAAATTGTTGCATTTTTGGGGTGCCCAGTACTCCTAAAAAATGTGCCCCACTTATCCAATATGTAGTGTTTCTCATTTTCTACAAAAAATCAGTTAGCTACTTGAAAAAAACTACTGAGAACTCAGATAATCTAGAATGGAAGTTTTTGTTTCATTTATTTATTTAAAAAAAAAACTGGTCCATGTGAAGCAGGGGTTGAGAAATTGCAGTGATGTTTCATGGATCCTCTCAACTAAAGTATTAGATGAAGTGATGCTTTCATATAAAATTATCCTAGAAACCTGATACATCAATTTATTGTTTTGAGAAGATTACCACCCACCTGGATGAATAGTTTGTTTACAAGATCATGACTATTAGAACTGTATTCATGACTTTTCAGGGACAACAAATTCATTAATTTTCAAATACCTCTAGATTCATGCTATATTATTTCAATAGCTCTAGTATTCCAGTAGTCAAGGTTATCATTTGATTGTGCATGTTGTGATGGCATGACCATTCCTAACTGCTGTTTTCCTGTAGTTTTCATGTCATCACATCAGATGATGACCTTGATTACTATTAGACCAATCAGAGTATTCGCGGTAGTCAAGGTCATCATCTGACTTTGAAATGACATGAAAACTATGGGAAAACATGTCTAACTTTCAATCTAAGCCAGGAGTTGAAAATGTTTTCATGTCATCACAATGTCAGATGATGACCTTGACTATCGCGAATTCGCGGTCGCCAAGGTCATATTATAGTAGACGTTCTGATGACATTGAAAACTACGGGAATGCAAGTCTAACTTTCAATCTATGCCAGGAATTATGATGTTTTCCTGTAGTTTCAAATGCCACCACAATGTCATCTAATGACCTTGGCGACCGTGAATAGATCATGAATAGATATGGTTCATTTATCTGTATCATTGACAAATTGACAGATGTCTTCTTGACCTTGAGTAATAAATTCAGCATTCAAAATCAACAAACATTGGAGAAAAATAGCATAAACAATGCAAACTTTCATAAAAGCAATGGAACTATAACAATTTGTCCCATCAAACAAGGTCTGCAACATGATTGTAATCTTAAAGAGAAAAATTGCATACTTTTGCTGATAACTCGGCTGAAAAAAATCTCTAAGAAAGTTTTGCCGATGATGACAATATATATTCATTTTCACCTTATTCTAAGAAATTGTTTTAGCAACCTGAATTGATGCAGGAATTGATAGTGTGCAGAATGCAAGAATTCGTTTTGCTCACACCTAGGTATGGGAAATTTGAATAGAGTACCACAGACTAAACATAATGTTAACATGATTAAAATCAAATACAGCCTTGTTTTATTATTGCAATGAAGTTTATTGAAATAATTTATGAGTTGTTTGATAATAATCACTTCCAGATTTTTTTTGGTAGGTTTTTGATTGTTTTAAGCTCTTTAATTAGATTCAGCCATGTAGCAAATATAAACAATCTTATTTTTGAAGATTTGTACTCTTCTTGCCCCAATATTAGCCATTATGTGCTTGTTGAATAATTTATTACCAATAGTCCACAGTATTCTGCTTCTACAGTTTTAAAATCACCACCTGATTTTGATAGTATGAACTGAAATTGAACACAAAAAGTCTGATTTTGGTCTATTTGATTTTTTCATAAAATGTTGACTCCATTGAAAGTGGTCCCAATTTTTAATTGAATTTAAAATTAAAATTCATTTGTGATATGATGAATCTATTTTCACTATATTTTTGTAATTATGTCTTATCAATATTTATAGATTGCAGTGAACATGCCCTTCAAACTTTTGAACCTTTGAGTGATTCTACTGTAAACTGGGAGATGGAATATAGGCATGTTTCTCTAGCATCACCTAGTAGCAGCCCAGAATCTGTGAAAATGGAAGTTTCTAATGTCAACACTCCTCATTCGAAAATTTTTACTAGTCAGAGAAAAAGACTCAGTGATAGCTTTAAGGAGGAACAAAACCTAAATGAAGAGAATATGCAATCAAAAGAGATTATGAGACAAAATAGAAAATTATTCAAAAATGACAACACTGATGCTGGATATCACACTGAAAGTACAACATTCTATGATGAATCTATGTTTGGCACTCATGTATTTGCATCCACACCTACTAAAATAAAACTGAATAACTAGAATCGCAAATAAGCATGATTCAATGCCATCTCTAAAATTCTGAAAATATAATGAGAATGTCAGAATGTCTTATCCCAAGTAAATGGAGTGATTATATATATATATCAATTGTATAGTTTTAGTTTTTTATGTATTTTCATGAAAGTTCACTGCCATAATTGAAGTTTTTCAAATGTGTTTTTATTTATTGTTATTATAAGATCTTTTATATTATATAATTTATTGCTGAAAAAAATTGATCCAGAGTTTTACTGAACTGAATAATTGTCAAATTTCATATTTTAATTATATTGATATTACTATTAGCTAATGGTATATGTGTTGATTTAGGAATAAAACATGTATTATGTTTTTCATAATGTGCAATTTATAATAAAGAACTGCTATCCCAATGCATATTCTATGAAGCTGAATTTTCCTTGGACACCATTTAATAAAAAAACTGGTTGTCTGGTCCGGCTTCACACAGTTGGTATGGGTATGGTGTACCCATTTAAATAAAATAATCTACAGCACTGAACTATAACCCTTGTAGGGTTATAGTTCAGTGATCCACAGTAGGTACATATATATATATTTTTTTGTGCTTTATTCCTATACTACTATATACTTACACCTATTTTCATTCTCTCGGTATCTTTTGTTGTTTTACATAATATTAAAAATTTCAACCCAATCTGTCAAGCCATTTATAAGTAGATGAGTTAAATATTAGTTAAATGCAGTCACTGTATTGACGTACCGACAGCAGCGTCACCTACCGCGTCCTATTAGGTGCGTTTTGTTGTGCCATAACTCAATCTGGTTCTTGGCATTGTACACGTTTTGTTGTGCATTCAAACCCATTTTCATTCCCATTCACATTCCTTCTCATGAGAAGGATTGAAAATTGGAATGACAAATAAAAGTGACTTGTGACTTGTGATTATTATTGTGACATGAGAATTGACAGTTAAAAGAAAAAAATTTCAGCATTTATCGCATACAAGCTAATAGTAATGAATAGAAATTGAAGAGAACCACAAAAAAACGATAATTTCTCTATCTAAGGCATTGACGACTTCTAAAAATTCAATCATTATTCTCAAACTTTGGTTGAGAATCATGGATATTAAATTAGTCTATATCAATTTTTGATTCATGAGAGTAAGAGCTTAATGATGATAATGGTAAAATTGCTACATACCAGAGACAAATACGAGGACAAATATAATATGATCAGATTTTGAGGTTGAAAATATCAAAAGCCGCCGATCATGCGCCGATCCGTTTTCTTGGGCCCACTCATTCTATCACTTCCGGAATGGCACAACAAAACGCACCTATTATGTTTTTAGGGTTTAGCCGTTTAGAAGATAAGTGAAAAAGATAAGTCGGGTAGCACAATATGTGTTTTAATGCTAAGCAATGTGCCATCTGACGGCATATATCACGTGATCATCAAGTGTGATTATTTGGTAGTAGAATCGAAGGTTATAACAATTGTTCATTCAATTATGTGACTGATTATCATATGATTATTCATTATTCGTTTATACAACCGAATATGGTAGAAACATATCTTCCGAGTCGTTCTGGCAAAATTAATATTTTGACACATCACACTTGGCGTCAAAAACATATCATTTTCGACAGAATGACAGCGCGGAATAATGAGGGTTAAAATCCCAATACCCGTTGTCCTATTACCCGTCTTTCCGTAGGACTGACGAGAATGAAGTAGATAGATGCATGCTAGTAAAGTCCAAGCATTTTCCCGCGGTAAAAAGTACCACAAAATTGTTCTTGTTTCACTGTGTTCCAGGTACTTTGTCATCAGTATTATTTCCGTATCTGATATCACAATGACTATTCTGTTATTATTTCAAAAAAATCTCATTTTGCATGCTCATCGCCCATGGAATGTCAAATTTCAAGCAATGACAGCTTTGTCTAATAGATGAGCATTATTTAAGAGGAAATCAGATCGATACCAGATGAAGAAATAAAAAATGTCGCTGTTATATCTGTTACAGCCGTAGAAAAATTATAGTGCATAACTCGCACGGAATTTCCCACTCCAATGATTGAAGAATTCGTCTAAGGATCTCGTGGGAAATTACATCAGTCCCTGCTTGTTAAAAACCTATTTCAAATCGGTCCAGTAGTTTTGGAGCCTATTCAATACAAATAAACAAATCTTTCATCATTGTAGTATTAGTATAGATAATTTAAGTGATATCTGAAGGCGAATAGTCTTTATATGGCTAATGAAAATATCAACACCCATAAAAAGTCTAGTTGTTTGTAAGGCAAATCAGGAAGTTACCTACCCATTTTTACATTCTCTTCAACAAAATTTTCATTAGAACAGATTATTTAGTGTATTTCAACATAATAGTAAGTTGTAAGCTTTTCATTTATTCTTTTAGAGGCTGGTAAGTTCCCACCTTATACTTTATTAATGAAATGTGAGAAATAAACATAATCAACTGACAACATCACAGTATCTCATGTTGGATGATAATGAAGGTGAACCATCTCATTTATTGATTGTGATCACATATTATATTACAAAATAAAGTAACAATATCATATATCTATATATAAGTTAAATACCTATAACTAAAAAGTCACTGTTCAACAGATTTTGGAGCTATATTTGGAGGTGTTTTATTACTCAAAGGTTGCATTTGTGGATGCTGCTTTGAATGTGAAGTTGAAGGAGAGTGGAGAGGCAGCAACATTTTTGGATTCTGCTTTAAAGGGATCAGAGGTTGTTTGTCACTGTAGGATTTTGATAACCTTTCACTTAATGCCTTCAGTGCAATTTGCCTAAAAAATAATAAAATACACACATTGTAAATCATGCTAATTTTGAACTGCTACCTTCGTCTTTCCATATCATGTTGATCAGGCACAGGAACAGTTACTGAAACCCCAGTTGGATTTGACATGTCAAATTTTCTGACTACCTTTCTACATATTCCAATTTTGACCAAGCCAGTATGAATCACATTACTCAACACAGTAATAGGGGGCTGAATAACATTGGGAAAAAAACTGAAAATAATGGGTAAGGAGTACTGTTGATTCAATTTATAGTTATACAACCTGAACTACAACACACACCTTGCAAATGTGAAATAATCTGCCATATCTCCTCTTGAACCATTTGAGTGTTTTTGATAGAATCTCAAGTAAATCCAGCTAACTATAAGACCACTCAAGAACATTGTGGGGTAGGTACCATCAACAAGCCCCACAAGCTTGAAAATAACAGATAAGAAAAAAACTGTGAGTGGTACATTCCTATTGCTCAATTTTCCCAATGGTGTCTTGATTATAACCAGATCTGGCATGATCTGTTTCACTGCTACTGTTACTCCTGCAATATAACCAGCTAGTCCATGTATATGCACAGTGAACAAGAATGTTGTGTCAAATGTACAGCAGTATAAAATGAAATAAAACGCAGTAGTTATGACAGCAACCCCGAAGTTAACAATAGCAAAAAACGTTAACATTTCCATTTGCCCCCATAATGGTTCAATAAGTTTACCACACAGTCCAACAGTTATAATGTCCACCAACACTTCCCAAAAATGAATTTCTAAGAAACAGAACGTGAAGGCTGTCCACAACCAAAATGATGGGGGCATAAGATATCCTGGAGTAACAGATATGACTCGAATTGCTTCTTCTGAGAAAGATAAACCATAGCTAAAAAGAACTACCCCACATATGAATTTAACAGATGTACTAGTATTGCCCAGGAGAGCACCAAATTGTTGCTTCAAATATGGAATATTTCTGCCGAGGGCTCTAAAAAACATAGCCATTATCAAATCATTTAGGATTCAGGGCCCCTCTTTAAGTCTTTAGTCTTTAAATTTTAGGTTATATGTTATCAACCCTAAACCAAAACCAAGGATTATAAACTCTAGAAGGATTGCCAGATTCCGCAAAATCTTCTGCCGTGGTCACGTGATAGGGTATCAGAACTACGTCATCACTTTTAACGCAAAATGGCCGTCAAATTGGAAAATTATTTTTATTTATTGTATTTATAAAATATCTCAAATAATGAAATTGACGGACATGAACAAGAATAATCAACTCTGGGCGTAATTGGAAGGTTTTCCTTGAATAGTCTTCAATAAGGCTCACAGGTTAGTGATTCAAATAATTATTATGTAATATTTGTTGCACAAATTACGAAAATGCATTTATTCATTGAAGTTTTTGGTTGTTTTAGATACTTAATGGGAAACCGAAGAATATTACATGGAAAAAATATGATCCATTTCATCAACTGATGATATCAGTAGACTTGAGATCATTGAGAATTGTAAGCAGGTATATTAAACAAATATTTCTCTTCATAGTATAATTTCATCTTTGCTCTTATGTTTTAGTGAACTAGAAATAAATCTTTGAAAGAGGAAGATGTATTGAAAGCTGATGGTCCTATTTCATATTGTAGATGAAGCAATAGCAAACACATTTTAGGTAGGTACATAAAACTTGTGATTGCAAACATTAGCTCTTGGACAGCCTACACATTCGAAAGCGTAAAGGTACTTGGCAAGCAGGGATGTCTCAGGGTTCTTCAAACATATCTTCCCTGTAAACAGGTTAGTGTTATTTTTGTTGTATTACTGGTTCATCACAGCTCAGAAATGATGTTTTGAAATTTCAGAAATGGAGACTGTGAGCTGTACAGATCTGAAGTAGAAGACGGAAAAGAAAAAGAGGGTTCAGATATAATGTATCAAACCATTCCAAGAATTTTGTCATCATTACTTTCTGTGGGCAAGTATTATGTTTGATAATAAAGTATAACAGTGCATTTTTAAAAAATATTTATTCAGAATATCAATAGCTCCAAAGTAAATCACCTTGGTGAGAAGAATTACCTTTTTTTAAATAAAAATACTCAGTTGAAATATACATTACAGGTTGCATAATTATAGTTCATTCTTTTTCACATTTTTGTATTATTTTTGTTTTATTTTAGGTCCTCATTCAGAGGATATCAAATTTATCAAATATTCTGAGTGGATACATTTAAATCTCCATCAATCATCAATTGCAACCATGTTGCAAGGCTATATTAAAGTATCTTATGGAAAAAATGCATCAAAAGTTGCTATTGAATATCCACAATGATTGGCAATATGAAGAAAAGGAGATAAATGAAAATAACTGGTAGGTAATTGAATTTTTGACATAATTATCATCTGATACTCACTTTGACTTATTTAAGGTTAACTTTCTAGTTTATTTTCACATGATAGGAAGAATACTTGGAAAATAAATTATTTTTTCCCAAAAAGCTTGACAAATAAATTTGTCAAGCATCAAATCAGAGGCATTGCATTATGCAATCAAGAAAACTACAACTTTCCCTACCTGTAAGTTGAATATGATTGTAGTACCTACATAAGTATTTCAACATATAAAATTGTAGATTCCTCTAGCTAAAGTTTGAAACATATGTCACATTTTAACAATTATTATCAACTTTGAGGATTCCCACTTTCCTTTAAAAGTTATTCAATTTGTCTCACAATATTTCTCCAGATGGAGTTATTCTTGAAGATGAAATGATTGTGAAAAAAATCAAAATTGAGCTCAATTATTTGAAATTAATTAAATTTTCAGGTTGAATAAATGGTTCAGAAAAATTTGTGGAACTGTGTTACTCAATACATGGATAGTGCTACAAAAGGAAAAACATACATATTTTGTGGAGGAGGACCTTTGTAAAATTGGAAGGCACCCAACTTTTCTGTGTATTATTTTTCTGAAAGTTGTATAGCTAGTAGTATAATAGCAAAATTCAAAGAAATATATTATATTGGATCAGGATGATTTCTAAAGAATGTTTCAAGAATATGTTACATTATCATTTCACTAATTGTCATGAGTATTGTGATTGAATTTGAAAATTATAAAATTGATTTTCTGATAAGACTTTAATTTCCTTATTGGTCTATAGGGGAATAAAAACAAAACTTGAAATCAATTCATTTTATTCAGTGGGAACAGTAATAGTGGTGCATTTGCTTATATTGGGAATAATTGAAAAGGTAACAACATCTGTAAGTATTTCAAAGTATCTGTTTTTGTATATTTTCTGATCCAAATAATATTCCCAATATATGCCATGAGGAAAACCCACAAAAACTCATGACCCCCCTAAGTTATGAGAAATCAATTTTCACATGGTTCAGTAACAAATCAAATAGAAACCATTGCCAATTCAGTTGGAGGTAGTTGATTTTGTAGGACACATTTCAATATAATTATTCCACAGATTCTTCCAATATAATTATTCCAAAGATTCTTTCAATACAATCCAATTTGAAAACCCATAAGCTGTATGGCTAATCTGAAACAAAGTAATAATGTTTTGACTTTTCAAAGACAAAGTATTAATATTTTTGATAAAATAGGGCCAACTTTCCTTTTAACAATTTTCTTGAGTAGGTATGAACATTGTAGGATACATTTCAAGCAATTTAATCATAAAAATAATTATCTGCCAGACTTTGTTCAATAACCAATAAGCTGCATTGCTAATCTGAAACTAAGTAATGTTTTGACTTGTGAAAAATTAAAATACTCAATTTTCATATAGAGTAACTTTCCTTTCTACAAACTTTCAACTGCTGACTTATGTCAAGAGTTTCATCAAAGATGTATCTTTCTATTTGTATCTCCTGGCATTGAATCACTTTCCATATTCTTGTACTTAGGTACCTATAGATAGTATAAAGTTGATGAAATTCTCTTCACATTTGTTGATGATTGCACTTAAATGGACTTGTATTTGTTCTTGACCAGTATCATCTCAGACTACTTCCAATAATTTTCCTAATGGTCTTCTGTTTCTGTTATGTCAACCTTGGAATGTGACTATTTTATGAAAATTGCTAAGTATAACTTTTTGTGATGGTATAACTGTCTTCTTGAGTATTTATAAGAATATATTTCTAATTTTACAATGAAACTGTAATGGTTTACTACTTGATAGTCCTGAAATAGAATAAAGGTTATTTTATTTAAAAGGCAATTTTTTGATTGAAGACAAGGGTATTTTGAAGGTGACTTCATTTCTTACCTAATTTCAAATCTTGAAGTGGAAGCTTGTTTATGGAAACATTGTCTTGTCTTAGTGAACAAATAATAGTCTAGATTTCGTTTCTCCAATCTTGTGTTTTCCATGCATATTTTGAAGACAGCAGTAGTTAGTTCTTATGCAACAAAATGAGTCCAAGAATTATTTAAAATAATCCAAATTCACTTGGGGTTTATTGATATCATCTATTCTAGTTCCCAAAACAACACTGGAGGTAAGTCACTTTTGGATAGTAGAGGATATCTATTTCAGAATTTTGTTCAATTTTCTTATCTTTCTTCTAGATGAATCAGAATTTACAATTTTTCTCTTAGCAGAATTGGAAGATATGGCTTTTAAATTTCTGAATTTTATCCTTATGATGGTTCGTAATTTGCAAAAATCTTTGATTAACTTATAAGGCATATTTCTTTCTTTTTTAAATATTTTCAATGCTAACTTGCCAACAACTCTTGGGTTTTTCCTGAAAGATTCTCCATGGTGAGTAACAAAATATTTATTCCATCTTTTTATTCTTCTTAGCCACTGATCTGTAGGTTTGATGAGTCCCCCATAAGACAGTTGTTGCACCCAAGAAGGTATATTATAGGAATGATCACTTCTCATTTTATGAGTGAAGTCCCCTAAATTTGGAATATGCCTATATTTCTTTGCCAGGTAGCCTGCTATGTATTCCAAAGCATCATCTGTAGTTTCCACAGATGAACTATTGAAATCAGAGTCATTATTTATTGTATCATCACTACTTGATGATGAAAAGGAGCTACTCTTTGACTCTAATGTTTTTGGTTCTTCAGTGTTCATATTAACTTTTGCTGTTTCTAAAACTTTAGGACTCAAATACTCATCTATAACTCCAGCTTCTGTATTAACTTTAGATTCCAAAATCCCTGGGTTTTTTCCTAGAATTATCATTCGAATTCTGTGTATAGCTGAAAGTGGACTAGGATGTTCATCTGGACCTCCTCTGCTTCTGATTTGAAAAAAAAAGTTTTCTAGGCTATCCTGATTGAGTTTGTATGTGCAAATATATTTTATATCTAATTCACTTTTCATATCTTTGAATAAGAGTTGGAGAGACTTGATAGACATTATCATCCCCTTTTGAAAAGTTTGTAAATGAGTACTTTTTCCTATTGGTCTCATTTGTAAAATCAATTTGATCATTTTCTCCAAATGTTTATTTTGATTTTCTAGATCAGTTCCATAAGCATTCTTGCTTGGAACTCTTCCTTTGCAAACATAACTATTGAATATATCAAACCATTCATTTATGTCACTTATAAAATTAGACAATTTTACTGCCATCTGTTCATCATCTCCAGGTTTGTAGTGTGAAAGAGCTGTAGACACAGTATTGGACAATAGTTGAGCAGCAAGCTTAACGTTTTGACGTTGACTTTTTTCACAATTCAAATGTTTTTCATTTATCTTCCAGCAAGTATTCACTTCAGTATCTGTCAGAGAGACCAAAGCTTGTAAAGGAGTTTTATTAATAACTGAACCATCCCCCAATTGAAAACCCTTATCTAAAAGCCAGTTTCGTACCAATTTCAACAAATGGGGAGCATCAGCAAACATATAAACATTCTTGTTTGTTTCAGGGTGTTTGAAGAAAGTATTATTTATATCTACCTGCAATTCATTCCACAAACCAATATTACTTCCTCCACAATCACTGACACAAGCCACAACATTAAAAGATATCTTGTGCAGTTCAGATATCACATTGAATAATATTTCTTTTGTCATCTTTTGATCAAAAGCAATATAAACAGGTTGTTTCCACTGAGCAAAGAGGCCCCTAGCCATGACTACTTGCATTTGATTGTATGGTCCCAAAACTTCATCTTTCAATACATCATACTCTTCAACTGCTTTCACTTTCACTTCATCAAACTGAAGAACTACAGTTTTCTCAAATGGGGTGAATGATTCTCCAGCCAGATTTAACATAAGCAATACATCAGTTAGAATTCCTTGGCTGACATTTATTTGTGAAGCCCATTTTCTTAGTGAAGATAGTGATGGCAATGGGTAATGCAGTTTATTTCTCAAATAGAGATAGCACTTCTTACTGTAATAGCGCAATGTGAATGCAACAGCTATTTCTTCTCTAGTCCAGTTCACCCTTTTCTTCTTCTTTGACAGCAGATCAATTTGATTCTGTGTAAGCACCATGTGAAGTAGATCAGAAGCTATTTCCGATTTTTTCAAGTTCTGTTTGTTACATTTGGTTTTATAATATTTCAATTGAACATTCAATGCCTTAATCCTGATGGTACTTGTTTTCCTCAACAATGTATATTTTTTGAGCAATTCATTATATTTGGCCTCATAGTTTATATCCTGACATTTCTCCTCTGATATTTTTGAAGTTGAAGCAATATTATAATTGCACTCATCAGTATCTTCCCTTATCTCACTGCCAGTATCTTCAAGAATTGCACTGCCAGCGTCTTCTGGAATTGCACTGCCAGTAGTATCACCAGCCATATCTAAATAAAGTAGTCCTGCATCATAGTTTTGTTGAATTTCTGCCAGTTCCAGTGTAGGAATGGCAGTTTTTTTCAAAACCCTCCTCAAGGGTAAACCTGTAACGAAATGCATGATAGATACAACTGTTATCTGTAAGTCAAGCATATAGTTTTGTGAGAAATGCTATCTTTACCTAATAATTCATTCTTCAAGTCTCTTTCATAATCTTCTATTGTGAAATGACAAGAACAAATTCTACTTGAATCTGGATTGAATGTTGATTTCCTCCTACATCTGGTTATCCATTCTTCTCTGATGGTAATAGGACGAGGAAAGCTATGAAAAATAATACCAGCTCCTGCAGTTTTGGAATAGGCATTATTGCAGCCATAAACAGCACAGCGCATTCCAGGCATTTTTTCGGTCAATCTTGAGAAATATACAACTGTAGGTATGTGTATTCATGTACAAGGATCACAATGAAGTTGTTCTTTGCAAAAGTACTTCACAGGCTGTAAAAAGTCTCTGTATGCACTCAAATTCACAATGGTTAGGAGTCTCAGTTAGGAGGCTTCGAAAGTCTCTTTTTATAATCTGGTAATTCAATGGTTGAAAGCTGATAAGTGATCACTCATGAATTAAAAACATGAACAATTTTTCACAAATCACTCAACTCAGTCAAATCACACAAAGAAACCTTGGAAAGCTTTGAAAGATGTAAAATTAGCGCGCGTTTGCTAATATTTCAGCCATGTTTGTTTATGTTTTGTGTATTATTTCGACCAATAGGATCACGGCATGATCACAGAAAACAAAAGAGATGCGAAAGGCATCAGCATGACGTCACATTTTAGGGAATACATTGGAAGATAGGGATCTAGCACTCCTTCTCTGTATACTCTCCTTGAACCAAAACAACAAATAAAGAGACGACGACAACGTGACATCCCATCGTGGTGACTGGTGTGGTGCTGGTGACATCTAAAGCAGTTTTCCGTTCCGTAAATATGTAGGCTATATTCCGAATTCAACGGGTCAGTCATATTTATCTACTATTTCTATATATGCCGCATTGCCTATACGATATCTCAACAAAAATGGTACCAAAATGAGAGATACTTTTCGAATCTATAAGGACGGAAAGCCAAGGATGGAAACAGCCATATTGGTTTGACAAATTTCGTATTATTTTTTCCCTACGTCGGCATCAACGCCTTTTGGTCGATTTCGTTACCTATAAAGACAGAAGTTGGTCCCGCTTTGACGACAACTAGGGTCCCTTGATGGAAATTGACGTTAAAGTCATCTCAACAGGGTACGGACAGATCCTCGTCTCCTCTCACTCTAAAGTGTTTGTGAAACAGTTATATAGTTCCATCCTTATTCAATTCTGGGGATAAACACTAGATTTTTGACATTCGTTGTTTTTTAGGTTATATTGAGGTCACTGGCGTATCATACGTAATTTCCATATGGAATTCCTGATTCAAATATACCAAGATATAGATGAACAATCCTCTAGTTTCAGAGTTCACTACTCCAGCATAATCTTTGCGAGGTAGGGAACATATAAATTGTACCGAAAGCTCAATACATTTAACCAAAAGAGACTAATCTTTGACTGTATACCAGGGTTGACTGAATTGAGTGAATTGCCTGAATGAATTTTGATTTCAAGCTGAGCAGTAGTTTATCTATGAGCTGAATGAGCAGAGCCTTATTATGATTGAGAAATGGTGGAAACCTTGATGTGGGTATCTAAACTAATGTACTCATGTCATGTGTGCTGAATATATTTTCGGAAATCCAACTCGGAGAACAATCTATGGAGTTACTTATATCACACTATGTTAAATCTTCGTCTAGGACGAAAAGTATGCTGATAAAAAGTAATACGTTAAATGTGTAGGAAAATACAGAATAGAATATACTTCACCTGATTTTTCCGTCTCCCTTGAATAACAAGTCATTTTCGAATAATTTATTGATGGAAGTAACGAAAGACGAAATAATTATAATCTCCGACCCACGAAAACCCTCAGATACCAATCTTAAATAGAATGAGATCATAATTAGAAATTTATTCCGCTATATATTGGATCCGTGATCTTGAATTTTCCAAGTTTGACGAAACAATCATTATCTCCAACACCGGAAAACCCCAGATACCTTTCAATTTTGAATGAAAATGGGATCATAATTCCAAAACTCATTCGCCATATGATATTCCTCAACAAGTAAATACCCTGTACATACCTATTATCAAAATTTTGAATGATTTTCGGTAGCGCCCATGGATGTGACGTGACATCAATGTCAGGGATGCCAGTAGACAAAACTAAAGTCTCTAGATCATTGAAAAAGAATGCAGCTATGATCTGTCCGTACCCTGTTAAGATGACTTTAACGTCAATTTCCATCAAGGGACCCTAACGACAACTATGATTCATATATGAGTGTACCGGCTTAGTACCGGCCTTAGATCATACCGGCCTTGAAACACAGAACTAAAACACTGTGTTCCAGTTCTGTGACCTAAAAGCATCGGTAACCTTGGTGGATCAACGCCATTAATTTTAAGGAACATATCCGTGCCCATTGAACTATTGAACTCAATGTAAATGTGTCGTGATTTTATGGATAAGGAGCATTTTAGGCAGAATCTAGGAACTTAGTGAACTCTTGACTATCAGAAGATAAGAACGAGGAACTCGAAAATGTCGATTCCGTTTTAATGAATAAATGTAATCCATTTAAAAAATCCCACCTTAAATTGGCTATATTCCGAATTCAACTGACTGCTGATTTTTCATTCCGAAATAAAAAAAATGTGACAGAAACTTGTGAGCAGACGTGTTCCGTGTCCCTAATCCCCATCATTTTACCAATGAAAAAAGTTGTAAACTTGTAGGTAGACTGGCTACTGGCTAATCGACTATTGTGGCTATATCTAATGAGGAAACAAAGGAGCAATAGCAAAGATGCAAAACTCTTGAATAAATATAATATAAACATAAACGGCTAAACGTCAATTTTTTTAACATGGCGACTTGGCCAAGTCACCGTTTCTAGTAGTAGTAGGGAGTGACTGGAGAGAGTGTATTATATTTTATTCTTACAAAGTTCTGATTCTGAGAGTAAATTATATTGCATTACATTACAATGGAGAACTTCTTTCCAAGCATGTGGAAAGTGCGAGAAATCGCTGATAAAGTGTGAGTACATTGGTGTCATGAGAATGGAAACAGATGTTTATCTTATTTGAACATTCCAATCTAACAATAAATATCATGAACATTGATTGACGGGTTACTTTCAGGACTAACGTTGTGATGAATTACACCGAGGTTGAAGCAAAAGTCCGAGAAGCTACAAATGATGAGGCATGGGGTCCCACAGGGCAGATAATGCAAGAACTAGCCCATTCCACCTTCACATATGAGCATTTTCCAGAAGTAATGTCTATGCTCTGGAAGAGAATGCTCCAGGACAACAAGCAGCATTGGCGAAGAACATATAAGGTATCACACCTACCTGTTCAATTTGATTTCACAATCTGACATTTTCATTTTTCAGTCTCTCCAAGTTTTGAGTTATTTAGTGAAGAATGGCTCTGAAAGAGTTGTAACTTCAGCTAGGGAACATATCTATGATCTAAGATCTTTAGAAAACTATACCTACATTGATGATGTTGGAAAAGATCAGGGTATTAATATCAGGCATAAAGTCAAAGAACTCATTGATTTCATACAAGATGATGATAGACTACGTGAGGAGAGGAAAAAAGCCAAGAAAAATAAGGATAAATTTATTGGAATGAGTTCAGATACAATTGGGATGAGATTTGGAGGTAGGTCATAGGAACAAATACCTGAGGATTCTTTCATGTATCATTCTTCAAAATCAGAATAAATATATAATAATACCCTCCAAAAGGCATACTGGGTGAAATCACATCCAAAAATTTGTCACTGCCTGCAGATCTTAAAAACTGACATTTCAAATTTTCAAAAAATCAGGGTTGTGTTTTTTTCCAAACTATATATTCTTCTCTGTCATGATCTATCCAACAAAATATACGAAAAATCTATTTACTTGCCAATGACAGCCAAGCCAAAATTGAAAATTCATTCAAACATTTTTGTTCTATATTTTTTCATTGAACCAGTCAAAGTGTGCTGTGCAAATTGGAGAGCAGTTCTTATGGTATTTTGTCTGATTTTTCTCAATCTGAGAAAATTGAAAAGTGATCACAAAGCAAACTTATTGAAAAGTGATCACAAAGCAAACTTATTTAAGTTCTGGTCTGGATTTTTTTTTCATAATATTCCATCTCAAATGGTTCGAATAGGGAAAAGTCACTGCCAAATTTCACAAAATTATGATGCATCATTTCTCATTTCTTAAATATCCACATTATGGATGACTAAAAAAAATAGATAAACATCAACTTTTCTGGATTTCCCCTATTCACCATTTGACTACTATGTGAGTTCCTTCATAAATCATCCTGTATACTTAGGTTCCATTTGAGTAGGAGGAATACCCTCCTGATTCTATAAAAAGATCAAAAGTACACTATTGTTATTGAGGTGTTCAACAAAATTTCACATTGAAAACAGCAGATGTAGATTTAATTACAATTAGCTGATTTAATTCTTCACTATTATAAAGGGGGTGTTTCATTCATCTGTAAATTGAAAGTTGTAGTCATTAATCTGTGATTGAAAGATCTATAAAGTGAATCTGATACATATTCAATTTACAAGGGAGACAATTATTTTAGAATAGGTATACAAGTGTATCACTTGAACCCGAGACTTGAACACTAATAGTTTTTGGATTACTCACATTCTTGAGTTCTCTCCATACCATTTAAAACCATAATTAAAAACTAAATATTTGATTATTTCTTTTCTCTCATTTTTTAGGACTTTTTGTACTTGTTTCTATAAATAAAAGTATTAGTATTATCTTAATACCTATAGTTGTAGTAAGGACAGATGATTTGCCCCAAATTTAACCATCACAAATGTTCATGAAAGTTCAGTTGATAGTGCCACCTTGTTTGAAAAATGTCTTTGGACCATTTGGTAACAAATCTGCTCTCTTTTTTTAAATGAAAATGGAAAAAATATTGAAAAGTAATATTCTCAGATAAAATTATGACCATTAAAAATGGATATGTATATAAAGAAATACATTGAGAATTTCCATTCTCTATGTGATGAGAATATCAATTCTTTCATGGTTTATTCAACAGAAACCAACTACTTTCCTGGCTACATGCCATGACGAACATTGAACTATATCTATTGAACACACAGGATAAGAATTTGAAAACAAAATCTTCTGAAGTGGAGAATTTGCATGATCCTTCAGATACAAATATGTATATGCACATACTATCATTCTGAATATTCATCAAACAGAACAACTATTTTCCTTGCTATTTGCCATGTTTGGATTGAATTGTATCTGTTGAACATCCAAAAGGAGAGCATGAAAAACCTCTGAAATTGAGAATTGACGTTCTGAAATCGGATAAAATAAAAGAAGTTGATAGAAAGAAATGAGTTAGAGAATGTTTTTATTTATTGATCTTGAATTTTCCATTTTTATACATCTTCTATGATTTTAAAATATGATTATTCTACTCTGCCATATGTTGTCATATGCCATATGTTATATGATTGACAGCTGACATGTCTTCCATTTTCACAATTGTCAGTTGTCACCTGCTTGGAGCTTTCCAGATAACCTGCCATCAAACATGTGAATTGAAAAAATCCATTGAATTGATTCTCAGATGATTTTTCTCACAAACCAAAACTATTATTTACATATTGACTACATAGGCTATTAGACCGTGGGCCCACGACACCACAAGTGTCGATAGCATATGTTCGTATGCCGTTTTAGGAATATACTCAGACAGCCCGGGCAACCAGGAAAACGTGTCTCCGAGCGTCTATGACCAGTCCTTGCACCTGCTACGTCCTCTAGTTTCGGTTGAAAAAAGGGTTAAGTATTCGATGAACGAGGAGGCTCGGGCATGTGGATACATTATCGTATCTTGTAAAAATATTCGGGCGCTAGTGGGGTTGCATACGTCTAGGTCGCTACCGGAAGAAGGCATACGAACCGGAAGTGGCAATTTTCCAGTGGCGATGGGCGATAATCGAGGAAAGTATGCCCTTTGGGGGAACGACTTCTTTCGACCCATTAACCACTATTTCGACGTTTGCATACGATTTCAGAGAGGGCATCTCGATTTATGGCCATATCAACTTTCCGGTCTAACCTACAAATAGTCGATAATTTATGTTCGTATGCCACTCTCGTCGCCGATAGACTACGACATTTTAATGAACAAAAGCTGGTTTGCATACGCCCAGGTCACTACCAGAAAGAGGCATACGAGGCGGAAGTGCTAATTTTGCACTAAGATTTTTCGGGCATAAATTTTGATTATGTGGCTGTTATTTATATAAAAAAGGTAAACATTATATTTTTATTAAATGAAAATGACATTCAATATATGAGAACGAAATTATATTTGTTCACGATCATCTGTAATTTTTTCGTGGAACTGTTATTCTGCATCTTCATCGGTATCATCTGTGTCTGTGCCATCATAATCTCCTTCATCCTCGCTTTCGGTGTCTGAACTTATTATTTTGCCAACCAAATGCCAAATGGCTCAGCGCGAAGTGCAAAAAAACACAAAACAGTGATTTGAAAACACACAGAGCAGTGAACCAGCAAGAACACGACGCTCCCGGCTACACTAGACAATTATTTTATTTATTTTGTCTAAGCTCGACGACCGTGCGATCTACCCACTATTAAGATACAAGTTCAAATGATGAAACAGAAAGACAAATAGATGCAATTTTTGCCGGTGGGTCCCGAAGAGACGCGAGGCGGTCCCGAACGACGCAGTACAACCAAAATTATTAGTTATGGCTAAACAATTTCTGCTATGAATAATAATAAACCTTTCACGATAAATGTGTCATCAGTTGTGGCAAATAGTCAGCTGTTGTTAGTAACCCCAGAATGAGGTTTTTTAACCCCAATATGGAATTTTAATTGACTGAATAGACAACACTGTGATAATTCTGTCACATATAGTATTTTTATTGATGACAAATAATTGGCGAAAAATAGAAAAGTCGTTTGTAGGAAATAAGGATACGTTGTCATTGTTAATAAAATTCCAAATATTTTTAATTATCGGTACTAAAAAAATACCAACTAGACGTTTCAATTAACCAGTTTTTCTCAGTGTGTACTGTTTTCTGCACGGGTAAAATGGTTATTCGTCTTTCTTCGCGGCGAAAATAGTTATTCGTGTCCTTTCCACCGAAATAATGGTTTTTCTTTTTTTTTATAATGTTGGCACTGCGCAAATTGTATGCAAACCGTTATTTGAGATAAACTTTCACTTCTACTAACCGTGGTCTAAATTTCAAAATTTCCTCAATTGTCGACTATTTGTAGGTGAGACCGGAAAGTTGATATGGCCATAAATCGAGATGCCCTCTCTGAAATCGTATGCAAAGGTCGGAATAGTGGTTAATGGGTCGAAAGAAGTCGTTCCCCCAAAGGGCATACTTTCCTCGATTATCGCCTATCGCCACTGGAAAATTGCCACTTTCGGTTCGTATGCCTTCTTCCGGTAGCGACCTAGACGTATGCAACCCGGCTAGCGCCCGGATATTTTTACAAGATACGATAATGTATCCACATGCCCGAACCTCCTCGATCATCGATTACTTAACCCTTTTTTCAACCGAAACTAGAGGGCGTAGCAGGTGCAAGGACTGGTCATAGACGCTCGGAGACACGTTTTCCTGGTTGCCCGGGCCGTCTGAGTATATCCCTAAAAGGGCATACGAACATATGCTATCGACACTTGTGGTGTCGTGGGCCCACGGTCTATATTATTTCACAGGACCCTTTTGGCTTCTCAAAGAAAGCATCCATCTATTAAATGCTATCAATGAATCTGAACTTCTATAAGTAAATCAAGAGACAAAGTAATGAAAATAATGCACGTGTTATTTGCACTGAGGTGATATTTTAGGATTCTTAGAAAGGAAAAATTATATCCTATCAAAGACTGGAACCTTTGACATGATAATCTACTACACTGTATTACCACTAACCAAGCCGATTTTTTAAATGCCTGACATGTGTTTTGCTTTGAAAGAATTTGAGACAGAATAATTTTTATGAGAATGATTCAAAGTTTTTTTTAATATTAAAGTAGGATGCCCAATTGCAGCTGCAATCGGCCTCATTTTCTTACCGGGTTTGTGTATTTTTGGTAAACAATATAAACTTAGACAACCTTATTACCCTTATTGGCTTTTGTAAAAGCAATATTCTTCTTTCAATCCTTTGATAATTTTTTGAGTTTTTGGTTGCAAGTTATGTATATTCTTTATTTTTGGAAATTGGTTTTCTAACTGCTTCTCTAGCAAATCCTTTGAAGATTCAGGAAGGTATTATTGAATTGCGGGTTCAACACACTATTACTACATCAAGATTGTCCTTTGGAGTAGAAGGAACAAAATTCAGGCTTTCATTCAAAAGGTTAAGTTCTTCAATACTAGAAGATTGAGAGGAATGGTTTTCAATAAGGGTGATGGGTTCTTGATATAATGGTTTCCATTTATTTATTCCAGGATATAGGATGGTTAGTGTCTTTCTCCGTTGTGTGGACATACTTAGTATGACGATGCAAACATGGTTAGTGAAACACGTGTTGAGGTATTTAAAAAATCGGTTTGGTTAGTTGTAAAACAATGTAGTGGAAACAAAGGAATGAAAAGTTCCTAATAGGTATATTTATTGATATAGAATGACATATTTTTGGGATTATTAACTGTTTCCATCCAATTCCCTGATTTTAATAGTGTCATTTAATCAATTCAGGATTTCGAAATATAATATTTAATTTTCCTGTTCCAGTTCCAAATTTTTGATAAAATGGCAAGATTTGATACAAGATACAAAATGGCCAGAAATAAAGCTGTCTTTTCACCATAAAGTGTGGTCGAATGACTTTGAGAATTGGGAAAATTACTTGTGATGAATTTTCATCAAATCAGTTTCACACTGATCAGTTTTATTTTTTGCAATCTACAATGCCAATTGAAATCCTTCCAATCATTTCCATTTTTGATATCTATAATCCAGTCAAACGGTATCAAAATACACCCTCTCCTTGCAAACAATCCAGTAGTTGGTTTCATCATCGTTTCCTATGTTTTTCGGGTTGCTGAATCCGAATCTGGAATTATCCAACAAAATTTCCTGGTTCGTTTTCCAGATTCGGATTCAGCCACCCAGGCAACTATCAATTAAGAAATTTTCAGGCGGCGAATGATGACGTAATCGATAATTCTACTATGAATAATAGCATGAGTTCTCACTGATAATCTTCTAGCATCAGAATCATTACCGATAATTTTTTTCAAGGTCATATTTGTAATATTTCATCAATATTGAATCCTCGTTTTCCCCGACACAGAAAAAATAGTGTATTATTCAGGAAACACATATTAGATTTCAGTTCTCGGTTTTTTGGCTTTCTCCACTTCGCGTCGGGAGACAACACAACCTCGAGCTTAAATCTAACACTTTTTCCCCATGTATATTAATATTATTAATTGACTATATTCGTTCGTGAAATTCATTAACCAACACTGATTTCACGACTCACGTACTTGTACAAATTAACAGGTTCAACAAAATGTCTTCATTATTGGTAATAATGAAAAGAAGTTTATAATTCTCTTTCTCCCCTTCACCCCTTTAATCTTATCGCTATCGTATGTCTAATTGTATAAAACATTCGGAAATTGGATTGAATAATAGGTCACTTTCAATTGATGATGACACTGTTACATAAATCTGTTGAACTCGAAATTTAAATTTATTAGCATGTGTTTATTGAACATGCAAATTTGTTTAACTGTGAAAAGATCATTATAAAGATAAAAGCCTACTGTCATTCCACTATACTTCCTGTCCTGTAGTTCAATCAGGATTCAAAACAGTTTCACATAAAATGTGTGGTATGTCGTATTATTAGGAAAAGGTCATTCTGTTTAAAATGATGGATGGGGTTAACAAAACATGTATTTTTCATAATAAAAAGTACAAAATTGTTGATGGTGGGTATTATTAACTTAAATTGTTTTGTGGCAATGCGGTATATAATGTAATGTGTGGATTATTCAATTATTGAAACACTCTTGAATAATATTTCGAATTTTGAGAACTATAGTAGTGATTGAAATAAATCATATATCGGGTGACCACCAGTAACTTTGTTAGATCATGGAATCAAACATTGAATAATCAAATCCAAGTGATACAGTGCATATGAGAATTTATTCTTTTAGACATATTTGTATGATTCCTTTTCCGGTTCAACCGGGATTAATGCACTCATATACTTTTCAAATTATACCTTATGTCTTCCATTCGTACCAAAAAAATCGAATTTATTCGTATTTGGTTTAAAACATAAATTACACAAAAGGAAGTAAATTTACAATCCTTATACAGGGTGTACTGTTTTCCAGATACATCACACAACACACAAAAATACGAAAACAGGGTAAGTATTCCATAAAAATAAAATTACGGTTAGTTACGATTTTAGAGATCACTTAGTAAAACTTCTGATAGGGGTGGTGAAAATAGTATATAACCTAATATGTGCTGTAAGAAGCATATTACGCACGAATAGAAAAGTTCCATGAGTGCGAAATTGATTTATAACATGCATTCCGTACTATACTTTACCAAGTGTCATATAGTACATCAAAAATGTTTGGACAAATAGTCTGAATTATAATTCTTGACAGCTATGTCATCCGCTGTTGACGGCGATTACGCGATCATGACATACCTATACTGGCGGAATAAACGAAAACTGTTCGATGTGCTTACCGTGCGTAAAGAGCTACTTACTGAGGCTGTATCTTGTGTGTTCTTGCCTACTTTCTATAGTGGCCGTAGTTAAAGAGTTATTACGACATTGATCTTCCGCATATTGTTTTTTTTTTTTCGTCAAAATGTAATTTGAATATAGTGGTGGGCAATGTGGACATCTGCCTACCCTGTACAACCCACTTCTTTTTGCAGAGTAATAGGTTGAATGAGGTGAGATTTTCCTTAAAATCTGTAGGTTCTTATTTGATGGAAAGCCAAATGTGTTCCCTTTCTCCTCCTCCTCCTCCTCCTCCTCCTCCTCCTCCTCCTCGTCGTCCTCCTCCTCGTCGTCCTCCTCCTCCTCCTCCTCCTCCTCCTCCTCCTCTCCTTCTCCTCCTCCTTCTCCTTCTCCTTCTCCTTCTCCTTCTCCTTCTCCTTCTCCTTCTCCTTCTCCTTCTCCTTCTCCTTCTCCTTCTCCTTCTCCTTCTCCTTCTCCTTCTCCTTCTCCTTCTCCTTCTCCTTCTCCTTCTCCTTCTCCTGCTCCTGCTCCTGCTCCTGCTCCTGCTCCTGCTCCTGCTCCTGCTCCTGCTCCTGCTCCTGCTCCTGCTCCTGCTCCTGCTCCTGCTCCTGCTCCTGCTCCTGCTCCTGCTCCTGCTCCTGCTCCTGCTCCTGCTCCTGCTCCTGCTCCTGCTCCTGCCCCTTCTCCTATTCCACAATTCTCGAATCCAACACCCCTGTCAAGTTTGAATATAATACCTTGAGAACTCTAGAAACCATGGCTTGTCCAATGAATACGTTGATACCCGGTATATTCTGTTAATTCCATGATGATTACATATACCTCTTCCTATACCTATTAATGACCAATATTAATAAGTGACTAAGGATTCGACAACACTGTAAAAAAATCATGACATAAAATGTAATTTCCCCCCTCCCACAAATCTTGCTGGATCCGCCGCTGAGTGCTTTAAGAGCATCAAAAATTTCTAGTAACAAGAATACCTATCACTAATTCATCATTGTTTCGCACTTGCACCCAATTCATTGGCGAAAAGTCCCTCCTAAAAGATCACGCTCTTCGAGGTTGAGATTGTAATCTTCGGTTTCCTGCTAAACACGCCAGCACAACTCCATTCGAGGATTTCGAACCAGGGTGGGTCAATTTCGATGTTTGTATAGGGTAATTTTTCATAACAGTTCGATTTTTAGACTTAGACTTGTGAATTTCATGGTTGTTGTAGAGTGAGGAGAACATTACTTTCTCTTGCGATCGCACGCAAGTATTTCAGGTTCTCGTCACAGTACGCGAAGTAAAATTTCGCAGTCTTTACTACTCTTTACCCATAACAGCGGCCGCCGAACCAAACGGCACTTCCGAATTTGATAAGGTATTTCACGGCCTAGTCATGCAAATAACTATCACTTTCTGAATGTTTTTTTTTTCAGTGGCTTTGAGAACATTTAAAAGATTCAAATGTCGAGTTATAGCCCGAATTGCTTTTTTTCTCATTCTATTCATGTATCATCAGGTCGCCTTCAATGTGTGAATCTTCGATAGCGAAAATAATATTCTTGAGATTACTTTTGATGTTTTTATATTTTTTCCAAGTTGGCGGGTGTCATATCTGTGATAGTGTTTATCCGATTTTTAGTAAATTTGAATGAAGCCTTCTAAAATATCATATGTCTCGAAATTTTCATATTTTCACTTTCACGAATAAGTGAGTTGATTGTTATTATGGCGGAAAGGAAATTTGTTAATTTGCATATGTCTTTTTACATTTTCGTGTTCAGGATATCATTCTACATAAAAAAAATATTTCAAAAATTCTGTTTTTTTTTTGCTCGAAATATACAGTATATCTCATTTCTAATGGAAGCACCCATGTATCTTTTGTAATAATTGTTGAGTTAGGATTCTGAAATTTGCAGAAGCGGAAGATATACCGAAAATACACCCTATGGCCAAATGTGTGTTTTGGAGTCTGAAGTAATTTTCAACAACCTTTTCAATCTTGCCTCCTAAGATCATTTTCCGGAAATGTGGGGTATATTTCTCGCTCCTGTACATTTCAGAATCCTAACCCAACAATTACGAAAGATTCAGCGGTGCTTCCTTTAGAAGTGAGTCACACTGATCTAAATAAAAAAACTTAACTACACTAACCAGTGTAAAATTCACAAAGCTTTGTCCCCATTTCACCTTGTATTTTGAGACTATTGACCAATGATTAGCATCGAACATGAACAACCTTGACTACATGGACGCACTCATTTTAACAAATTTTTGCAAAGGCGTGCAAAAAATGTATCTGCAGAACATGTGGTAGTGGTTTATGCTCATAAAATAATAAAGGAAACAAAAATGTTATCGTTTATCAATAGACATTCTAACCTGTTATACTGAAATGTTAATAGGCTAATAGATGTGTATTATACATGTTTGAGTAATTAAAGTGAACAAAATTATACCTATAGATGCCTTGAAATTAGACAATTCTTATGTAGCAGTTGAACAGCTTCGAGAAATGTAAAGTACTAAAAACTAATGCACAACAAAGCACTTCATTTCTAAAAGTACAATAAAAAGACGGATAGTGAGAAATAAATGAAAATAAATCATCACAAATTTAACAGCTGTGTGCCTACCAGTACCAATCATAAAGTTTGACAGCGACATATAATACTGCCCTATTTACGTCTTATTTTTTGAATTCAGGTTCTGCTAGAGAAACTTGGGATGACAGACCTTACAGTAGAGAAACGTCAAGAGAAGCTAATGACTGGGACGAAGCTAATTCACCTAACCGCTATCGAGACAGAACGTATGATGAAGAATATGATATTGACAAGGAAGACAGTGATCCGGAATTGAAAAACACGAATAACGCCGACATTAAAAAATATCAGGATGCCGATTTGCCAACTAGTCCCACACGCGTAGAAAAGAAGGTCAACATCAATATCAACCCATCTTTAACACACTCGCCGAAAAAGTCGAGTAAGCCGTTGAAAAAAGTGGACCTAGGAGCTGCCGCTAACTTTGGGAGGGACACAAGTCAGAGCCCTATGCCTCGCGCCAGCGGCAATTTATTGAACGACGATTTCGACCCCAGGGCTAGCGAGCCGGTGAAGGACAGGAAAGAGTCCAATGAATTCGGCGAGTTCGAAAGCGCTTTCGGTGGTGCAGCGACCACAACCTCTCAGAAACCTGAAGACGACTTTGCGGATTTCAGCTCAGCGTTTTCTCAAGCCCCCCAAAATACATCACAATACTCCAGCATTCCCAACCTGATGGGCCCAGGGTCCAATGTCGTACCCCCGCCGAGTTCTAACGGCCCTAACCTGCTCATGGGGAGCCCCCCGCCCAATTTACTCGGAGGATCGGCGACGTTTGCCTCTCCGCCATTAGCTAATAATCTTCTGGGTACCAGTAGGGTTCCAGCTCAGAGTACTCAGAGCAACAGCGATTTGTTGGGGGATCTAGGAGGCTTTGGAAGTATGAGCATACAGCCACAGCCTGCGCCAACGACGACAAATAACAACTTTGGGCTGTTAGGAAATTCGAATATTGACCTCTTGGATGGTTTGAGCTCAGGTAAGAATGGAGGTTATAATGTAGATTTCTTGAAAACATGTAGAGTTGGTGGTAGTTCTATTGACAATTAGTTTAGAAAATGTATGTTGATTTTATACTTCATGAGATTTTGTTGATATTCAAATGAATTTACGTTTGACCAACGACCATTATTGATTATTCAATTTCAGTTTATTTACTAACCAATTTTCAAAGTACAAAAATGGTTGGGGTTTTCTCTCCTAGTTTTTTAAACACATAGTTTAACTGTTTATCATTGTTCAAAGTAAAATTTCAGCATTCAACCAACAGCTAATTTTTGACACTGACATAACATATTTCGTTAGTATTCAAGATTATAACTATATCATGTGAGAATTAGATTTTTGGAGTAATGAAGATTATTTGATGTTTCCGTTTTTCGAAACCCAGAGTTTTGATGATCCTGGAGCAAATAGAAGAAGAAAATTGAACTTCAACAGGTAGGTAGGGAGGATGCAATTATGGAATTCAATGCCAATAACATATTGCTATTTTGTATTATGACAATAATTGACAATAATTGTTCAATTTGTCATTCAGAGCTAAAACCTAAAACATTTTTCAAACAAAGTGTCACTGACTATCAATTGAATCCCTCTTCTAGGTTTTTAAATGTGCAATTTGAAATGCATTGGGATTTTGGACTCAATCATCGGATTTGTCCTTTTTACAAATATATTGAAAGATTACTAATATGTTTATCAATATGAGGGGAGAAAAATACTCAAGTTTAGAGAATTATCCTCCAAAGTCTACCTATAGATAGTATTTATTAATTTGTTAGTTCTGGTGTTATGGCGGGTTGGGTTCAGAGTCACAGGTCTCTCCAATGAGAATTGGACATTTCCTCCAGATTGTCAGCAATTTCATCAGTTATTCCTCATTCCATGATTCATGAAAGATATGTAATTCCAAAAATTTTCAGCAATTTTTAAGGGGGTTGAATTATTTGAATTATTTTTCAACAGAACAGGAATACATTTTTTATTATGTGACATTGTGTTATATTTACATCTAAAATGTATAATATAAATTTAAATTCAGATGATGGGCGAGTGGAATTATTGGCATTCAATTGCTCCACTGTGTCGTTAAGAACCTAGATTGATTTATGTAACACTTCTCTTCAGAGCAACCAGCATGTCCAAATGTTTCTTATTCGCTATAACAAAATATCATGTGAAAGTTGGAGACTTGGCAACATTGTGCCGAATGCTAACCTAACCTAACCTAACCGACGAGACCACGCCCACAAGTCGTGCGCCTTGGTTGTCACGTTCACCGATTCAAATGTCCTCTAGTGTGAATTAATAAAATTATTATTTATACAAATTTATTATAAGCAATAAGCCACCAATCGTAAGGGAACATTTCGTGACAATTGAATTTTCCTCGCTAATTAGGAATATTACCAATACTCAATTGATAATTTATGAATTGACCAATAACTAATATTTCTGAAGTTCCCAATCACATTTCAACACATGGCAACTGTGCTATGGTCTGCCCCTACTTACGAAATCGTGACGTCAGTTTTTACCGGCGGTTAATTTCTAGCCGTTTGAAAATTACCGTTGCATTATTGATGATATTAGCACCTAAAAATAGACCAAAAAATTAAAAAAATATATGAAACTGAAAGGTATTTGAGTGATGATTCTATTTACGAAATAAAAAAAAAATAGTCCACTCGCCTATTCAGGACGCAAAATAAGGCCCATTGATGCTATGATTTAGGGTTCAATAAACGACTTTGATATAAACTATTTGCCAGATGAAGTGGGACAGCCAAAAAAATGTCTAATTTTGATAAGCTATAACTCGAACATTCCTTGGCAGATGTATTTTCAACCAAAGGTTGAAAGCGTCATCCTTGGGCTATGCGTCATTGGCGTCGGGTTTTTATTTTTGCGATTCGTTCTCTTTGTACAGAGTGTGAATGGGCTTATATCACAAAAAAAATTTATTTCATAATTCCATAGAACTCACCCAAACTAGCTCACCACCGCAAACCGTTTCTTGCTGTGAGCTCCCTACGTTTTATAAAAAATTATTGAAGTCCCCGATTTTTTGGACCTCTGAAAACGAGGCGAAGATGTGACGTCAAAACCCTGATACTGAAATAAGACTATGCCAGGCAGAAATGAATGATACATGATTTCTGATAGAGTGAATTAGCGCGAGATCACAGTTGAAAGAATTAATATATCAGTTGCCTCAGTCTCCGTCGGGCGTTTGGTATTTTCTACTATGGCGAGATGAGGTTTCTTCGTCATAAGAGGGTCCGTTTTCAGAAGGTACTATTATTTATGTCCAAAAATAAAACATTTCAGTTAATTTTTCGATCGGATTATGTCGTCAATCATTATTTATGTATAAAAGGATCATTATAAACATGGTTTGAGTTAAAAGTTCTACTAAGGTGTATACGCCCATTAAGAGCCATAAAAATTTCAAATTCTTGACGAATAATTTGGGAAATGTGAGGGACCCTGGAATTATTTTTTAGATGTTGGGTGAATGGTTGGTCCGATACCTCGAGACGTCTTTGAAATTTTTTTGATTAATTGCGTTGCTATGGAAAAATCGCCATTTTATGAAATTTTATTTTTATTTTGAAATGTGGCTTGTTTTAGTTAAACAATAATAGCCAACATCTTAACTGCAGCAAGGGATATTTCTACTGAAGATAATTAACACCAGTGGCGCGCAAAAAGGGGTTTATGATATTTAGAAACGAAAAATTCTTTTTTATTGAGAAAATTCAACAGTTTTATTGATCGTTACAGTTGAATAGGTGTCATATCCTTAATTAGCCTGATGTTGACAAATTTAGGGGCGCGCAAAAAAAGGGTTTATAATATTTAGACACGACAAAAACGTTTTTATTGCAAAAATCATCAGTCTCATTATCATTGTTTTTTACTTATTCAAGGTGAGCATCCAAGTGATCCATTGGCGTATTAAAGAGGATCCATCATTCAAGGTGATTCAAAGAAATTGATATGATAACATTTTTAATAATTTCATCAAGTGTTGTTCTTTGTTCGCCCAGTGAAAATTTTCTTGTATTATTATTTTTAAATGAAAATTCAGAAACGTAATTCTGGCTTCTGATGTTTCTCGAGCCGTACAATTTGATAATTTTGTCAGAAAAAATTTCAAAAAATCTTGTTGATTTTTTTCAATTAAAACTTTTTTGTCGTTTTTAAATATCATGAACCCTTTCTTCGCGCGCCTCTGAATTTGTCAACATCATGCTAATCAAGGATATGCCACCTCTTCAACTGTAATAAAACTGTTGAGGTTTTTCAATAAAAACGAATTTTTCGTATATTTTGGCTGTTATTGTTTAACGAAAAGAGGCCACATTTCAAAATAAAAATAAAATTTCAAAAAATGGCGAATTTTCCATAGCAACGCAATTTATCAAAACAATTTCAAAGACGTCTCGAGGTATCGAACCAACCATTCACCCAACATCAAAAAACTGATTCTAGGGTCCCTCACATTTCCCAAATCATTGGTCGAAAATTTGAAATTTTTTCTGCTCTTAATTTACACTCTGTGCAAAGAGAACGAATCGCAAAAATAAAAACCCGACGCCAATGAGGCATAGTCCAAGGATGACGCTTTCTACCTTTGGTTGAAAATACAACATCTGCCAAGAAATGTTCAAGTTGTAGCTTATCAAAATTAGACAATTTTTTGGCTGTCCCACTTCATCTGGTAAGTAGTTTACATCGATATTTGATATTGATATACTCCTGTGAGTGAGAATATGTATTTAATCAATAGATTCTGCAATGTCTTCAGAGGTCTCGAAATAATTTCCGGAGTTAGATACGAGATTTCACATGAATACACATATTACTAATGAGAAACAACGAAAAGAGATAGGATTCCTAGTATTTTTCAGGAACAAATAACTAAGCCCTTTCAATAAACCTCCTAACTTCTCAGTGTGTTTGACGTGACTCTGCCTGCCATATCGAATGTTGTGCAATTATTATCAAGAAGTAAATCAGTGAAATTGTGTGAAGTATGGAGAGCTATTGTGAGATTTAAACTAGCCATTAAAATTCTTAAAAAATATCTTGAGGCAACAATAGTAGATTGTTTTATTAGGATCAAAAGTGGCACTTTGTTTGATAAGCGAATTTTGCATTTGCGAGGCGGAGCGTCTAGCGAAGCCGAGCGAAAGCAAAATTTGCGAGTCGAACAAAGTCACTTTTGATCCGAATGAAACATGCTATTTTTTCTGCAACCGAAACAATCAACTCAAATAAACATGTAAAGTAACCACCAATGTCGTACCATATGTATGCAATGCAACAAATATTGACAAATAATCCATGTGGTGAGAATATTCTACCTGTATTATTAACAGCAGGTTAGGTTTTCTAGGATGTTCGAAATGTAGTTTAAATATAAATACAACCACAGAGTGACATATTTGTGTATGGACCAGGTGCTCTAATGGCAAATACCGCGCCAGTGCCAGCTATAGGTACAAGACGTGGAAAATGTTAGGTTAGTGAGCATATCAACAATGATAATAGTGATTATTTATTCCTCTCCATACTACACTGTGTTTGACTTGATAATCAAATGAAGCTAAACAATATCGTTGTTTGAGACAAAAAAAACTATTGCTCACCGTGATTATTCAAAAACAAGTTATCCATCCCAAGAATAACGAATGAAATACAGATCAAGCAATTATTTGAATCTTGAAGGCTTCCCTGATCAAAACAAAAATACTTAACTGAGATGTTTATAATTCCAATACTAAACTATAATAAGGTGTATTTATATCTCCAGCATGGGTATATGAAATGCCAAATCTGCTGAAATCGGAAACAAATCAGGTATGCGTCTCAACCCAAATAACCAACCGTCACAATGTTTATTCTTGATGACGTCCAGTAGATCCTTTTTAGTTCCTAGGAGCTAAAGTTCAACTTTAGCTCCTAGGAACTAAAATTCAACTTTAGCTCCTAGGAACTAAATATGTTGCCTAGCAACATACCTATTTTTGTGTCAGTAATAGAAACGTCAATTTAAGAGCTTTTTTTTGGTATCAAAATGGACGACTTTTTTGTCGGTTGCAGAAAAATAATATTGGTATAAGTTTTGGCATCATAGATGTTTCAAACTCATATTATATGGGAAACTCATTGAGCTTTCCCATTTCAGATACCAATAAAGGTGACACCCGAGTGGTCAGTGTGAATGTGTTTGGTGAACATTTGAGTGAAGTTTCCAGAAGAAGAAGTAGAACAATACGAAAATCTCCAGCCGAGAAAGAGCTCACCGACCTATTATACAGTGTAGTCCAGAATTTGGAAAAAAACAAGAAAATCACTTCACAAGATCAAGTCGATGATCTCTTGTCAAAAGTACAGAAGATCGTTGAGCTTCTTCCTGGACCTTTAACAGTACAAAAACTGGCGGGGATGGATGAGAGTTGTTCCACTGAAAATATAGAGGATTCCTATGAAGTGTTCATTGAATGCCTCGTTCAACATTTTGATGCTAATTTTCCCTTCAGAGATAACAAAATCTATGAACCCATGAAACAGTTATTTCTGGTAGAGGATGTTAGGTATTTCACCGTAAATTTCAAAGTTCTACTGCATCATATTGATGAACATGCAAATATTGAAATATTACGAATGCTCTTAGATTCTGACGCAGTTTTTGTCTCAATTTGTCATTACATTTTAGGAATGCATTCATCAGATGAATTGTCCAAGGAAGAAATCTCAAATGCTTGGAAGAACTTTGTAACTCATCTAATATCACTTCCTTCAAGAATGGCTAATATTTTAAGTGGAAATGTCCCAGAATTATTTCTCACCGAACAATATGCAAATTATTTGATTTTTAATCTGTTAAAAACGGTAGAATTTTTATCTGAATTATTATTGTATAAATATCGAAATGAGTCAGGCATAAATTATGAGTGGTTATCATATTTTGTTGGAAGATTAATAGTTGACTACAATGAGCGGTTGAAATCAAAAGGTATTATTAATCTTATTCAGATTATTGCCATTCTAACGAACAAGCCATCAAACAAAGCGAAGCTATATCAAAGTATCTTTCAAAATTTGTTGTTGAATTTAGATAGGTCAGCAATCGACATATTTGCGAAAATGTTCTTAAGCAATCTGGATCCACAAAATTACAGTCTTAAAGCTATATTTGGAAATGATCTCATCAACAATGAAGCTTGGAAATATGTCTTATGTACAAAAATTCCGTTATTAACGTACTTTGAGAGGGATTATTCAAAGTTGATTATCAACCTTGTGGTATATGTAAGTTCAACATCTCCTCCACTGACAATGAAATTGTTTATTGATTTATTATCCATTTGGGCGGACAGATCTTCAATCAACCACACAAGTATTGAGCAGCAAATCTTTATAACAAAAGTTTTACTTTTCAATGCAAACTCATTGAGGAACATTGGCTTCAGTGAATATGAAGCTACCAAAATCCGAGAAATAATATTTTCTGGATTACCAGTACATTTAGAATCTTCAAATGAAATTATTAGAGCTATCGGAATGAAAACAGGAGAGATTCTTATAAATTTGCTACACGAGGAAACAGAAAAAAGTGAAAACGAGCTGAAATTTCAATATAACAATCTGAAAATTGAATCAAAAAATCTGGTTAGTGAGTTGCAAGATATCTCGGATGAGGACATTCAGTGCTACTTCAAACCCAAGACCGACTTCAAAACAGACCTTGGAGAAATACTGTCGAAATTGTCAAGAAACCAACAAAACGATGTTATTGAATACATACCACCTGAACGTCAATTCCATAAGAAGATTCAAACAGAAGAGCCCAAAAATGAATTTATAATTACTGACTACAAAACCGATTCTCGAATAAAAATCATTGACAGCACTGGCTTTGAGTTGGACTCAGATGATGACTTGGAGCCTTATGATTTGTCAAACGACGTGAAAGTATCGAAGAAAAATCCTCCGGCATATTTAAGAGATTTGAGGGATGGTCTTTTAGAGTCTCAAGATCAGGAAATATTTTCTTTGAACTTGGAAAATTGCGAAAAAATCATAACCTCGCAGCTCTCTGATGATGATCCTAGTATTGGGTTAGAAATCTTGGAGATTTTGTTGTCCCTAGAACCCCGATTCTATGTGGAGAATTTTGATGATCTGGTTTTTCAGAGTTGTGTAGCAATATCATATGTCTATCCAGCTTGTTATGTTGAGTTTTTATGTAAACAAATTCATGCTGATATTGGAACATACTCTATATCGAAACGTGTTTTCATGTTGGATATTTTAAGACAGACGGCAAGGAATTTATCGACGGTGAAAGAAAGTGAAACTAAAGTCCAGCTGAAAAAAACCAAGAGGCAAGGAGACATAGATAGTGCAGAAGAAGTCATTAGGAAGAGATTAGAAAATAAAACTAGGTACTTTAGCAGGCATAAGTATGTTATAAATGAGCATTTAAATAAGTTTGCAGAAGTAGCTGGCCATTTCTTCTTTCCATTACTCTACGGATACAATCAGAACAGGATGCTTTGCCAATCTGCCGATAATGACAGCGACTGTATATTATTGATACATTTTATCGAAACGCTTGCTGTGGTGATGTGTGCATCACAAAATTGTCCTATTGCTCCAAGAATGGCTAAGGAAATTTTCCACTTTTCTTGGTTCTTACGATTCCATAAGGAAGTCAGAGTGAGGATATCAATTCTGACACTTATTTCATCAGCTATTGTCAACATCCCACAGAGCATACTGGTTCAAGACTTTCTGAATGAATTATTTGAAATTAGGTTATGGTTAATCGATTTATTGAGCCCTAATGTTGCCCATGGAGAGCCAAATTTAGAATGTAGGAATCTCGCGGCATGTGCCATTGTACTTATAGAGGGAGTTCTAAAAGTTGATGTGGATTTGGATAATGAATCGTAGTTTGTATTATTTCTTGACATTTAGGTATCTACTCATTATTTTTTGTATAACAAAACATTTGAACGAAAAAAACCATTGAATAAAAATATAAAAGCAATAAAATGTGTCTCATGAACCTTCACCAATGCCATTATACAGGGTGAGTCATAAGTATTGGAACATAGACTAAGGGCGGATTGTTTGGACCAATATATGGTGATAGGACCGAATATGCCGTTACAAAATATTGCTATGGAAAAAGATACAGGGCGTTAAAGTTGCATATTTTTTGTTCCGTTTTTTGTTCATAAATTTCACTGTATATTTATCAATTGTTATCAAAATCGGCACAAAGGCATAATTTTATACAGGGAATATTATGTATGTATTATTCCACATTTTGTTACAGCTAGGGGGCGCCATGTGAATGATTCCTGATGAAATCAACTGATAACTGTTTTCGACAAAACGTTTCAGTGATTTTGATTAAAAAATATGACATACATCATTTCTACATAATATTGGTATTCTTGTTTGAAAACGATATTCTCATCCGTTTTAGAGAAAAACACAATTGAACAGTTCAAAGACTCGGAAGGGGATGTCAAATATTATTTCATTTATGAAGAATGTGCCTTGGACTGTCAGATAATTATTGCTGGTGAATTACATTGCTTTCCAGTGAATTAATTTTGGTGCGAGTTCATAGTCATTACTTTTTCGGTTGAAACGCCCTTTATCTTTTTCCATAGCAATATTTTATTGAGGCATACTTGGTCCTATCGCCATATTCTGGTCCAAACAATCCGCCCTTAGCCCGTCCCAATAGTTATGACCCACCCTGTATATCAAAACTGAGATAGGTAGATATTTATACAGTGTGTCCCACTTACCATGCTCACCATGGGTATCTTTTTAACGGTGAAAGATACGAGGTCGGTTAAATGACACCAAATGTGGAGTTTGTCAAGGCCAACTATAATGTGAAAAAATATTTTGATAAAATCTATTCGTTTTTGATCATTTTCATGTCTCCTCCGTAACCTCTTTATTTATGAAATTATTCAAATAGGAATTTCACATTGTTCTATATCACTCTGTGTATAGGATATTTCAAGATGACATATATAGAATAGATGTCAATGTTATGTAACTTCAGAAAAATAATAAAGTTGATTCAGAGTATTAACTTAGTTATCGAACATGGCGCAGTCGGTATTGTGTTAATTCATTGATAAGCAAGGTGTCTCCCACAAGAATCATGCCGAGAAAAAGTGCGGATGGAAAAACAGAAGCTATCATCAGCAGTAGATTGAAGCCTATTGAGGACACAGTTTCTTACACTCAAGAGGCAATTTCGCTATTAGAAAGTAGCACCAAGGAGTCTATCTCTAAGTTGGAGACCAATTTCTATGCTCACTTCGAAAAGCTTCAAGGTATGATCGAAAAGTTGATGCCATCAAGTCCCAGAGAAGAGAATATTATCCAAGAGGATCAAGAGATTGAAGTTGTTCAACATAATTCTCGAAATACCCCACTGAATAATTCCTTATCGAATTCAACTAGTACATATAAGTTACATATTTCGAAAGCGATAGCTAGTCCAGAAAAACTCACTGATATACAATCATTGTCACAATTCAGGGACTGGAGAAGTAAATATAATAATTATTTGATTTTCCAAGGAGTCGATGGAGCACCAGAAAACCAATTAACAGTGTTGCGGAAGAAGACCCTGTGTACATTGAGTTTCTACAAACCGAAGTAGCTGATGTCAAGATTTTTGGGAATTTGAGTTGATTATTGTCAAGAAACTGTCATAGTTTTGCAATTTTATATTCTACCAGAATATAGTTCATTTCACTCGTTTTATTCATTCAATTTGCTCCTACGTGACCTTACAACGGGTAGTTGAAGGTTCCGTTACATTTTGGCGACCGTGACAGGACATTTTCCTTTGAATGATGGAGAAATTGAAGAGAACTTTGGATATTCAGAGAAGTGCTTTTCTGAGGATCTACGAGAAGGTGATTGAAGAACTGGACGTTGCAGAACCCGACATGTTGGACATCCAAGGTTATCTTAAAGTCCTAGACCAGAAGATCGACACAGTCAACGAAGTTAGTAGACAGCTACTTGATCTCATGCTTGATTCCGAGTCTTCGAATGAAGATATAGATGCTGAAGTTGTTGAAGCCGATGACTTACTAGCCAGGTATTCTAGACTTAAGTTGAAAGTGGAAAGGAGCCTGAATAATAGTCATTCTGACTCGAGTTCTAATCAACAGAAACGTCAATTAAAACTTCCAAAAATTGAATTGAAGAAATTTGGTGGAGAAATGAAAGATTGGGTTCTATTTTGGAGTCAATTTCGTAGAATTCATGAAGATGATTCATTAGATTAAGAAGACAAATTTCAGTATCTTATTCAGGCTACCGTTCAAAAATCAAGAGCTCGTCAGTTGGTGGAGAGTTACCCTCCAAGTTCCGATAATTATCCAAAGGTCATCGAAAGTCTCAAGTCTCGTTTTGGTCGCGATGATTTGTTAGTTGAATATTATATTCGCGAACTTTTGAAACTAATTTTGAATAATCTCAACCATAAAGTTCATCTGAGTACTTTATATGACCGAATGGAGTCACAACTGAGAGCACTAGAAACTCTAGGTGTAACGTCAGACAAATGTGCAGCGATGCTCTATCCTTTGGTGGAATCATGTCTTCCTGAGGACATTTTACGTGCTTGGCAGAGAAGTAATCATTATGATTCGGATTCTACTCTTAAAAGTCGTCTTGATAGGCTTATGGGATTTTTGAAAAAAGAGATTGAAAATGAGGAAAGAATTTCATTAGCTGTAACAGGTTTTGATACAAATGAGAAGACAAAGAAAATCTCCAAAGATAATATTGTTCCAACGGCTGCAGGTTTGATAAATCATAAAAATGTACCTAAATGTGTATTTTGTAAGAAATCACATACTAGTGATATTTGTACTGAAGCAGATAAATGGCCACATCAGCAAAAATTAAAAGTACTATCAGATAACGGATGTTGTCATTCATGTCTTAAGTTTGGACATTTAGCAAAAAGATGCTATGTCAGAATAGTATGTTCGAAATGTAAAGGAAAACATGCCACTCTGATGTGTCAAAGGAACCTTGAAAATAATAAAGTAATTCCGAGTTCTAATATTTCTGACGAACAATGCGTGGTTGAAAATCTCTCCAATAATTCATATCATGAGATTTTTTTGCAAACTCTGGTAGTGAAATTAGTAGGAAAAAATAAGACGCGCTGTATTCGAGTTATTTTTGATACTGGGTCTCAGAGGTCTTATATAAGCAAGTATGCAGCTATCGAGATGGACTTCGAACCAGTTAGAAAAGAGAAAATGAAACATGACTTATTTGGGGGTTCAAATACGGAAAATGTCGATCATATTTGTTATAAAATCAATTTGAAAAATTTGAATGAGAAATACATGTGTAATTTTGAAGCCCTGGATCAAAATGTGATATGCAACAATATCAGTCCTGTACGAGACGGTTCTTGGAAATCTGAACTTGATCAGTTAGGGATCAATGTCAGTGATACGAAAGATGGGCCAATCGAAGTTTTGATAGGTGCTGATGTTGCCGGCAAATTATTCACTGGGCGAAAATATACATTGAAATGTGGTTTGGTGGCAATGGAGACTTCTCTAGGGTGGATAGTAATGGGGAAAGTTATGGATATCGAAATTCCTAGGTCATCTACGATGATAGCATCTTCATTATTTTGTAAAAATGATTCAGTCGCTGATTTGTGGAGTTTAGATATATTAGGTATTGAGGATCCCGCTGAGAGGAGATCTAAAGAAGATCACGAGCTTGATATCCTGAAGAAATTTCATGATTCTATCACAATTAATGAGGAAGGTAGGTATGAGGTTAATTTGACTTGGATTGATGGTCATCCTCCGCTACCGAGTAATTTTCATATTGCTAAGAGAAGACTAGATAATCTGTCGAAAATTTTAGAAAAAGATGGATATTATCAGTTATATAATCAGGTATTCAAAGAATGGTTGGCTGAAGGCGTGATCGAAGAAGTACCAGAGGAAGAACTTCAAAAGGATGGACATTATTTGCCCCATAGGCATGTCATCAAATTGAGTAGCGCTACAACAAAATTGAGGCCAGTATTCGATGCTTCCGCGAAAGAAAAAAATCAGCCTTCCTTAAATCATTGTTTGGAAAAAGGTGTGAATTTAATTGAATTGATTCCATCAATACTGATTCGTTTCAGACTCTCGAAGATAGGAATTATCTCAGATATTCGAAAAGCATTTCTTCAAATTAGTTTAAAAGTTGAGGATAGAGACTTCCTGAGGTTTTTATGGTACGATGAAAATGGTACAATGATAACTTTTCGCCATACGAGAGTAGTTTTCGGTGTGACTTGCAGTCCTTTTATATTGGGAGCTGTTATAGAATTTCATCTGAGAAAATCACTGGAAAATATTTCCAATAATTTATATTGTTTTTCAAACGTAGAGAAACTTCTCAAAAGTTTTTATGTTGATAACTGCGTTACAAGCGTAGATACTGAAGAGGAACTTTATAAATTCATTGAAGATTCAACATTAGTGATGTCTGAAGCTAAATTCGATTTGAGGTTGTGGGAGTATACAGTATTGAATTCCTCGAAAGAAAATGACACGCAAAGTAGTGTATCTCCGGTTTTGGGATTGAATTGGAATCGGGAAAATGATACTTTGAAATTGAATTTTGATTGGTTCAAAACTGCAACATATGATGTGATAACAAAAAGAATCATTTTATCAGTTGCACACAAAGATAGATAGATAGATAGATAGATAGATCTTTATTTAACTACGTGATGTATAAAACATTTGTAGCAAGTCAGGTAGCAAGTAGTTACAAAAAGTACAGTACAATATTCACTAAATAAATAAAATAACAATGATAGTAAAATAAAATAATATGTGTACATTACAACATATCATACACATATAGTAGACACAATAATTATTGGGACATATAACATGAGTATTGGAGCATAAATATATGTGTTTCAGTTTTT